CCTGCTTCTCTGCGATCAGCTTCTGAACACGCTCTTCTTCTTTCTCAAGCTCACGTAGAGCCATAACCTCACGGTAGGTCTGGCCCTCTCCTTCCACGTTTGCATGTTCGTTCGCGGCAAACGGATCAGCGCGTGTAGGCGTCAGCGGACCGCGATTGAAACGACGCTTCTGATAGTCCGTCTCGCGATCAGCGATTCTGGCCGCCTTTTCGCGTCCTAGGAGAACGTCCTCCTCTTCCACACCATTGCCTTGGGCAAATTCATCGATCTGGCTCCTTGTCGCGGTATATTGGCCCACCAGACGGTGGCCTCCGTCCGCATCCTCCATCTCTTCATCTTCGCCATTGACAGCAATGGACATGTCGTATCCCGCATATTTGTCAGCGCCCTCGCGTTCGTAGAGGGTGGTATCGAAGGATTCAGTCAGGGAGGCCTTGGTCGAGTTGTCAGTGCGCTGGCTAGACGGATCAAAGGTCCTAGAACCTTTCTTCGCAGATGCAGCAGCGTTCCGCTCAGCTTGGAGCTTCCGGACGGCTTCGAAATCAGCTAGAAGGGGTTGTCAGCCTATCTTCAGAAACAAGGTCCGCGATCTGGAGGCTACCTACCGTCGGACATGGTGGCGGTTGTGGTGATCCCAAAGACGAGAAAGAGAACGAACACTCCCAGGCAGGGGTAACAGCAGCTACATTCGGATCAAAAACGGACAATAGCAGCGACCTTGGGGGCGTGGAGGGTGATGCGCTGATGTCTCGCGATGAAAATATCAAGAAGACGTGAGGTGAAGTTCGGCGGCGGGACTAGATTGATGACTAAGAGGAGGCACGTGATGGCTGTGTAGCTGTCTGCTTCTGCTCTCGCTTTATCTCGCCTCAGTATTCTTTCACATTTGGTCTTTATTTTTATTTTTTTTTTCCCCTTCTCAAATAGCTCTAGATAAGTCAACAATTTTAAATGATGGTAGATATGGTCAGCTTGGTGCTTTATCGATTTTATAGCTTCATGTAGAAATTAAGCGCAGGGCTCTACTCATTGACTCCGGATTGCCACAACAACAAATCGATTGGATCAGATGATATGCTTCGAAAAAAAAGTGTTATAGCATGTATCACACTGGGACTTTTTGAAGCAGTCATGAAGTAGCACTTCATAAGCAAAAGGGACATCATGATGGGATACAATATCGGGTACATTGGGCTGATTGTGGACGACTATATATATTGTCGCTCATTTCATATATAACGCTAACTACTTACTTACTGTTACTGCGCAATTTCTTACACACACATTGTTCTACGATAGTAGTATGTCACTATGCGAATATCTGCTGAAAGATCTATTTCGTCTATGATTTAAAGTATCCAATGCTCATAATTCCGCACGAAAATTCTTAGCAGCTTGCTACGCCTACAGTCCCGCCACAAGTTTATGGCTGTTGTTTATACCAAGGCAATAGCTTCCATTGCGAGACAATACTGAGTTCAAATTGAGTTGCATCTCTTACATATAGTTATATCTACGCTGTGACTTCGGATCGAATTGATTGAATACATATTATGCATTTAGTAAGGTCTCTTCATCATTGGACTTGAATATATAACATGTTAATATCAATGGACCTCTACTACAAAAGGTATATAGTTAGACAACTAATTCATTATATAAGACGAGATATCACGAATTATCCTTCATAGAAGCCATCATATATTCCGAAGCGCATCTTAATACATAAAGTTCTGAGGCATAATACTATATGTATGCAGGACAGTATCTCAATTGGAGCTGAAGCACTTTCAACTTCATTCTCACTTTCTTACAACCATTATATTACTTACCAGAAACAAGTAATAACCGGTCACAAATTTTCCAACCTGACAGCTCTTTCTGATACCAACTTCTATATTTTCCAGTTTAGATAACTTCGAAAATTGAATAAGACAAATCAATCATAATCACGCACCTGAAACCAAAAGCTGCTCCAACCGAACAGACAATCAAAATGACATCATGCCATTCTCCACCTGGCTAAAAGGCAACTCCACACGGGAATAAACACAAAATAACCAGGGACAAAGAAAAATCAAATTCCTTCAATAATTAATAATTTAAATAAGATATGTGAAAAGAGCAATACTAATGAGGAAGAGAAAAAAGGAAAAGAAAAAAGAAATTGTGTGTCTTATTTGATCCCGGTTCCCACCGTGTTTCAGCCCAATATGCAACTATTATGTAGCAGATTAATAACGGTTTCCGCGAGGCCATAGCATACTACGCATACTCGCAGTGGGGCATACTAGATTACTGTCGACATACCATTCCTAGTTAGATCGGGTTGTTTGTACATGGGTTGTATACGTCAGCTTCTCTCTTTGTCCGAATTTCATTTTCCTTGGCCGTGACTTTTGTGGGATTCGGATTTAATTACTGATTTGATTACTTGCTGTATATGTGTGTGGGGAGTGGGGGTTGCATGGACTGATAATGAGACTGTGTGTCTGTCTAATGAGCGGAGAGGAGAGTAATATGATATAATATATGTGGTGTTTCAGGATCTGTTGGCTGCTTATGTTTTGCTTCATAGTTATTACCTACGGATTTGGGACGGGATGGGTCGGGTTGACTTGCTGTGTAGAGTGTATGGCATGTCATGGCGTGTGTGTGATATTGGACTCAAATTGTAGTGGATGCATGTGCTTCGGCTATCAGGCATGTGGTCTGTTGAGGAGGACAAGATCAATGATTGGGCTGAATGATGCCGGGAAACCTGAGTAGTAGCACGGTAAGATTGCTTGAAGTTGACTATCGAAAAGCTATGCGTTCTTGGAGATCCTAGGAAGAGATTTCCTCCCCTGCAATTATTTGCGGGATTGGATGCAGAAGACACCTGATATCCCACCAGATTACGTCTAAGCGATATGGAAAGTCCTGGGTATGAGCTAGAAGGGTTGACTTCTCTATTCGCGACTATTACTTCCTCCGTATGCGAAACACAATGGCCAAAAGGTCGATAGCAAGCATAATGTAGTATAATACCCAAAACGCCAAGGATATGGTAGCAAGTGGTGATATGCACAGTAGAAATTCGACGGCACCAGGCGGTCAGTAATGGTTCTTAAGAGCAGGCCTAGTGGATTCTGTCCAGCTTGGCCCTGTTCATGGCGATTTGGTCGTCGACAAAGTCGCTCTACAGCGCAGTCAGTCAAGATTCCATTTCGTGACAATATCCCCAGAGGACTTACCTTGGCCGTGATACGCTCCAAATGACGGTTCTGTTCGTCCAGCTCGCGACCTGTCGCCCGAGCAAGGCCGTTCAAACGGCTTGCAGCTCCTCCAAGCAGATCCAGATTCTGTTCGATCTCGTTCTCCATCGCCTCATCCTCGCTGTCCGCCTCAAACTGGTATTTGGCACGATCGGTGATGTTGGTCCTGTTGCGTGTGGTCTGCTTGGCCGCCTCCTTGTCGATGTCCCTGAAGGTGCGCTCCATCCGCTGGTTGGTCTTGAAAGCCTCCTTCTCTGTACCCTCGCGAGTTTCCCGCTCTGCCCGGTGCGTGTTCAGAATTCGCTCATCACGCTCTCGCCGGCGCCGGGAACTGGTGAAAGGGTTGGACACGTGGACAGCGAACATGCTCTTGTTGAGTGTCTTCAACTCCTTTGCCTTCTCCTCCGCGATCCGTCCCTCGACTGTAGCGACATCCAAACTCTTCTCGGCATCATGGATACGCTCTCCCTGAGCACCCAAACGAGCAAGTGTCTCACGGCCCGTCTCTTCGGCCTGGGCAGCCACACGGAGTGCATTGCGAGTTGAGGCGACGTCACCTTGCTTGATGAATCGGATGTCCTGCTTGATGGTCTGAATTTCTTCCTCCTCTTCCTCCTCAGCAGTAAGGTGACGCTCTTGGTAAGTGGAGGTGTTGTACTCGTTGCTGCCTCCGCCATAAGCAGCTCCGCCCTCGGAGTAAGGCGGGGGAGGGCCGGCCTGCTGTTGTTGCTGTGCGCGATCCCGAGCCCCTCCAAAAAGCGCATCTCTGTTGCCATCCGCCGCCGCGGGGTCATTGGGATCGGCGCTACCTAGTCCTCCATAGCCGCCAGGGCCGTACCGAGAAGCGGCAGGGGCAGCAGCACCCCCGCCACCAAAGCGGTCGGATCCATAACCGCCTTGGTTTCCATATCGATTCGGCGCATACCCTTGATACTTGTTATCTCCGGGGATGTTATGGGCACCAGAGGGGCCAGCTGCGGGCGGTTGTTCTCCGGCTGGCAGAGGAGCCACACCCGCCTGCATCTTGGCCTTGGTGTAAGGGTCGGTCGGGATAGGTTTAGCGTAGGGGTTGGCAGGCGGCGCAGGGCTCTTGCTCTTCGATCTGGAGCCGAAAAGTGCCAGACGGTTGCCGGAATCCTCGTCGTCGTCCCCGGACTTTTTGAAACCGAATCGGCCCATGGCGTGGAATGTGAATGAGATTAGTAGTCGGATACGAGGGTGAGAGAAGGTCAAGGATATGCTAGTAGCGATTAATCCGGCGAACGAGAAGATAGAATCTGAGAAGAGGACAGATGGAGGTAGAAAAGGGGATCAGAGAGGGACCAGCGCAAAAGATGTGAAACCAACGATAATAATAACTCCAGTTGGTCAGGGGAGCAGCAGCCGTCAGGGAAACGCCTCCTTAGGCATTATTGGATGGAGGGTCGAGACCCAAGGCGGAGGGTAATACTGATACATCATTCTAGAAGGATGAAATGGGTAGTTGTGGAAGTAATGACGGTATCAGAACCACCAATATGACAGGCAGTGCACGCACTAATCCCCAAAAGGCTAGTGGGGTGGCTGGACCCTTTTCGCAGCCACGAACCAGTGGCTGCAAACGTGCAAACTTTCCCACTTTGAGTTGGTGGTTGCCTTCGTTTTGCGCGTTCCGCCTTTCCTCTCCTCCCTCCGTCTTCTTCCCTTCAATCTTCCCTTTTCCCCCTCCCCAATCACATCGCCGGAGCATGCTTCACCGCAGCCATGGCGCCGTATCCAGGGTCTGATGCAGACTATTTTAGGGACAAGGCGCGTAGGGATTTGTTAACTCTCCTTGAAGGCGTGAGTAAGCCTCCAACGTGTCCCTCAAGGCAGCAGCAATCCTCCTCGCCTTTGTGCATGGGCTGAATTTCGTGGTGCAGGTACGTGGTAAGAAAAACCTTGTCGTCAGTCAGGATCTGGCTGGTCCAGTCGGGCTGTTCGTCAAGTTCTCGCTGCTCCAGGAATACGGTGTAGATCGCGTGTTCCTGCTCGAGAATGGCAACGTGGACTCCTCTCAGCGCAACGTCGTCTTTCTAGTCCACGCGGAAAAGATACGCCAGGTGCGGGCCGTGGCAGGTATGTCCATTTCTTCCGGATCACCACCCCGTCGCCTTCTCCCATTGTAAATCCTCTCTCTCTCTCTCCTGTGCCTCGTCATGCGATTATTGGCGAAGCTATGCCTCTATATCTCTTTGGGACAAACAGTAGATTACGCAGATCTATCTTCCACTCTACGTAGTCAGTCAAAAGATCCCAACATAGAGAGATTTGTATACAGCTCATCTCAAGGCCTTCTTTCAAGTCACGACCGATTGAATGCCATCAGTATGAGCTAACATTCCTCTAGAACAGATCCAGCGTCTTCAGCGCAACGGCAATGTTGAACATGAACTCTCCATATTTTGGGTTCCGAGGCGGACCCTTGTAAGCAATTCCATCCTTGAAGAAGCCGGCATTATAGGCGACGTGAATATTGCCGAATTCCCACTGTACTTCGCTCCTTTGGAGCAAGATGTGCTCTCCCTGGAGCTAGAAGACTCCTTTGGTGACTTGTACCTGGTAAGGAAGAGCACAACTTCCTGTTCCAAACACTATTAACACCCGGTGGCACACAGCACAAGGATCCGGCATGTATCTTCCACTCCGCGAAAGCCCTCATGGACATCCAGCAGAGACATGGCTACTTCCCTCGTATCATTGGCAAGGGTGACCATGCCCGACGCCTTGCAGACCTCCTACTGCGGATGAGAAAGGAGCTTGATGCTGAAGAGAGCTCGGGTCTTGCTGGAGTCTCTGCTAGAGGCCTTCTTCCTAGCGCAAGCACTGAAAGCCTCATCATCATTGATCGCGAAGTCGACTTTGGGACTGCGCTACTGACACAACTGACCTACGAAGGATTGATCGATGAGACAGTGGGCATCAAGAATAACCAAGCAGATGTGGACACCTCTATCGTCGGGCCTACGGCAGTGCCTCAGGCTCAGGAGTCTTCTAAAGCACCCCAGCAATCTTCAAAACAAGGACAGAAGCGGAAAGTCCAGCTGGACTCCTCCGACCAACTCTTCAGCCAGCTGCGTGACGCCAACTTTGCCATCGTAGGTGATATATTGAACAAGGTTGCACGCCGTTTGGAAAGCGACTACGAAAGCCGGCATGCCGCCAAAACTACCTCCGAGCTCCGCGAGTTCGTTAACAAACTTCCCACTTATCAACTGGAACATCAAAGTCTCCGAGTCCATACCAACCTTGCCGAAGAAATCATGAGAACCACTCGCTCAGATATCTTCCGCAAGATCCTCGAAGTCCAGCAAAACAACGCCGCGGGCGCCGATGCTACATACCATCACGACGCCGTCGAGGAGCTGATCGCTCGCGATGTTCCTTTGAAGACCATTCTCCGTCTGCTCTGTCTTGAATCGTGCATGTCCGGTGGTCTCCGTCCCCGCGACCTCGAAAACTTCAAACGCCAAATCATCCAAGCTTACGGCCATCAACACCTTCTTACCTTCTGGGCTCTCGAAAAAATGGAACTTCTTCAGCCTCGTTCTTCCGCCACCACCATGCTCCTCCCTACCGCTGGCGCCCAGACAGGCACTAAGACCAACTACGGCTACCTCCGCAAGAACCTCCGACTGGTCGTCGAAGAGGTTAGCGAAAAGGACCCTAATGACATTGCATACGTCTATAGCGGGTTCGCCCCTCTCAGCATCCGTCTCGTTCAATGTGTTCTACAGAAACCGTACATTCTTTCGCTTGTCAGAGGTGGACCTGTCACTGCTGCAACACCTAGCCCTGCGAGCGCCTCGTCCCCAGGATGGCTTGGTTTTGAGGATGTAGTGAAGAGTGCTCGTGGTGCTACGTTCAGCATTGTACAGAAGGGTGACGACAAGGCAATCAGGGCGCGGCAGACAATCAGTGGAAATAATGCGATCAAGACCGTTTACGTTTTCTTTTTGGGTGGAATCACATTCACAGAAATTGCGGCGTTGAGGTTTATTGCGGCGCAGGAAGCTCCCAGGCGGAAGATTGTGATTTGTACGACGAGTCTTATCAATGGTGATCGGATGATGGATGCTGCGATCGAGAAGGGGAATTTTGCGAAGCTGGAGTGAAGGGTAGTAGAGACTTAATGTTAGCGAATGATAATATCAATTCCACACTGTATGATTCCCTGGGCTCTGTAGGTAATGCTTTAGAGTCTTGGAGGCCAGGCTTTTAGCGGTGCCCGATATAGAGTCTACGCTGTGCGTAACAAATCAGGCAAGGAATTTGAGGTATCCCTGTAGATGCAAGTAGCCGTACGAAAGTTCACCCATAAGGAGCCGCACCGATAGGACATCAGCGATTTCGCTTTATAACAGTATATAGTTCTATAGGCCACGCGTTTAGCTTGCCTGACATTGTATCTTTGGTATTATATGCCGGATATTCAGAAGTAAACAATACAATACACTGGGTGTATGCACCCCAAAGAGGACTAGCGGTCTAGTCAAGTTGACCTGCTCCTCATCTCCCTCTTCAGGGCCCCTTCCAACCCCACTCACTCCACCCAGTTGTGGGAAGAAGGCCAACCATGAGTATATATATCCGTGGGCTTGACTCTTCTATATGATATGATAGCAATACTACTGACGTTCCTTCATAACCCACCAATCAGCCAGCATGCGGCGTACATTGCCGCTTCTCCGCCGGGATATCAGTCTCTCCACGGCCATAGATGACGACGACAATATTCTTCAAGAACTCTCCTATCCCAAACAGCGAGTCGACTTCTATGTATACCTTTATCAACATCGAAGCGTAATCGAGTCAATTGTATCATATCACCTGAACCTAAGCAAGAAGCAGACGTGCCGTGTGGGGGATGTCAAAGAGTGGATCTCCGGGAGCTTCAACGTGTGCATACCAGTTGACATCAATGGGTAAGAAGACCATGCACCCAGACGAGTTCTCATTAGATTCCCTTTGCTCTACAAAGTGGGAGAGGGTCAACACCCAGGCAATGCAGACGAGAAGCTCCGCTGCGAGGCTGCCACTTATGTTTGGATCCGGCAGAACTGCCCTTCTATACCTATACCTCGATTGTGGGGCTTCGCCTTTGCACAAGACTTATGTGTAAGTGAACTGCTATCTTGATACATGGGCCAGGCTAACACTGACCCTAGTTCCTCGCGATTGAGCACGCCAATGTCTTAAGCAGATTAAGATGGTGTTTCCATAATATGGTATCATTTGTCTTCGGATTTCCGGTCCGACCACCTTACTTAAGTCGACGTTGCCCTTTCAACTTAACAACCGGATATCTCCTCATGGAGTATGTTGGAAACACTGATACTGTGATGCTTTCTGAATCTTGGGACAAGTCACGCCACGACCACAAACGCAGAAGCAACCTTTTTCGCGGGCTGAGTCGAATCATCATATCCTTAGCTCAGTCCCCTTTCAATCGCATCGGATCTCTAACAATGAACAACCAAGGGAATATAAAGCTTACCAACCGCCCTCTAACACTCCGCCTTCATCAGCTAGAAAACGAGTCCATACCCACCAATGTAGATAGAGACCTCACATATTCAACAAGCGATAGTTATTACATGGACTTACTCTCCTGCCACGACAGCCGCCTGCGTCAAGCCCCAAATTCTATACGAGACAAGCCGACGGTGAAGCACAGATGTCGGCCCTGACCATTATGCGAGCTCTGCTGCCACATTTCACCTGCCGCGATTATCGACGTGGACCGTTCATCATGACCTTAACGGATCTACACCAAAGCAACATCTTCGTCGACAGAGACTGGAACATCAAGTCACTCGTAGATCTAGAGTGGACATGCTCGTTACCAATTGAGATGCTCCGACCACCATACTGGCTCACTAGTCGTGGGGTGGACCAGATATACGGAGAACACCTGGATACTTTCAGCGATATGCATGCTGAATTTATGCATGTCTTTGACCAGGAGGAACAGGCTTATGCTGGAGAGGCGGGAGCTAGGGCCTTGAACTTAACCAGTATCATGAAAAAAGGCTGGGGAATTGGAAACTTCTGGTACTTCCATGCCCTTGAAACTCCCAAGGGATTATACAATATTTTTTCTGGATCACATACAACCAAGGTTCTTGAAAGTGGATGACGCTAGAATGGTGGAGTTTGAACGGACTATCTCGCCGTATTGGGCTCCGGATGTACAAGAATTCCTGGATGGGAAGATGAACGACAAAGAGGTATATGAAGGTCATCTTCGCGATGCTTTTGCAGGAGCGGAAGAAGGATGACCTAACTTATGACTAGTCACCAACTGTGAGTTGAAGTAATGGACTTCATTGATCGATGTTGTTGAAATACCATTCGAATCTATGCCGCATACTGATTGAAGAAATGTGAATGTGGTTTTGTGTTGTGACTGTTCTCTGATTTGTTAAGATGGTGATGGTTTATTTACAATAATCAGTACCTGAACCCGGAATTCAGACCCATTAGCCGTCCCTGGTATCGCTCTATCACCTCTCCCAGTTTCACCATGACACCTGCGGCTAATGTCCGCACCTGTTCTCGCGGATCGCTTGTATCTTGGACCGGTGGCGTTCTGTCAAATATCTCTCCTACCCATTCTCGCAGCTCCATGACTTGCGTGGCGAATTCAGTGACTAGGCGCTCTTCCCCGGATGTCCCGGAGGCGACGTTCAAGTCTACGGCTGCGAGGAAGAGAGATAGAAGCGAGGACAAGATGCCGGGATCGTCTGATATGGGGCGAGCATGGAGCGAGAGCAGGAATGTCAATGTTTCGTGTGTGACGGCTGCGAGATGGGGCGTGTGAGGGCCCATTGTTGAGAATATGAGTGTGAGTGTTTGGATGAAGAGACTGAGGAGATGGGGGGCATAGAAGGGGTTGTAGGAGGGAGCGGTGGAACTGCGTTGTTAGCGACGCTGACTTGGGGAAGATTTGGGGAAGAAGGAGAACATACGATGAGAATTGCATGATCATCATCTCGAACCGACCCTTCAGAGGGTAGAAGAACCCATCTGCAAGGACTCTATATAGATCCTTTGCGGTGGATTTCTGCCGTTGTGCTTCGCGTTGCTGGCGTTTCTTTTCGACTTCCATTCGTGAGGAGAATGTGCGGACCTTGAGTGCATTGGGCCCAGACAGGGAATCTGAGGCATCGGCAGCTAGTGGCTCGAGTGAAGCGCGTGATAATTGCTTGGTTAGGCTTGCGATTGGCGATTCGGTCTCGGGTTGATACAGAGCCTCGAGGTTACCAGGGAGCTTTTGGGACGGGAACGAAGCGTCGGATAAGCGTGGGAGACCCAGTGCTTTAGCGTCTGCTTCGCCATTTCCGCCGAGTTCGCGAGCACTCAAGCCTAGAGCTGTGAGGATCGTAGAGCGCTGTGGCTGAGATAGGTCCCCATCGAAGAAAACGGCCGAGAACCAGTGGCCCATTTTGAGAGGTTGAGATACGATCAGTGCGATCATACTTTGAAGTTGGATTTCCTGGAATCTTGGGATCTTCCCATGCTCCTGTAAGCCCACGACAACGAGTGCCAATTCTTCTATATTCTCAGCAAGCTCCGTTCCAAAGCCGGTCTTGCGTCGGATTAGGGAGGGGGCGGTGGAAACAGCCAGCTCGTAGCGCTCTACGTTTTCCGTGTCGCGTAGATAGGTTATGAGGTCGCGGATGTACCTAACTCATGGTTAGTGGCCATATGTGTTACGGTTCGTTTTGTCACATACACTGGTGCGGTAGGTTTGTTGCGTTGGACCAAGGTTGGGTCATCATCAGAATCTGAGGGATCTTCATCGGGCTTTTCATATGGGATGAGATCTTCATCTTCTTCATCCTCTTGGTCCGAGTCATTGACCTCTTCTATGGCAACGATCTTTGCTCTTCTGGTATCTTTCTTTGGCCTATTGGTCCCAGAGGTTCGGTTTTTGGTACCCTTTTCGGTTGGTTTCGTTGGAGGTCCTCTCAGCGATTCAATGGAACCAATAGACCCAACGGTATCGTGTAGTTTGGCAAGGTCCAAGTACCAATGTGCCTCATCACTCTCCATCTCTTCAAGATCGAACCTCATCCCTTTACCTTGCTGCTCGATGAGCTGCGAGATAGTGGTTCCAATCAGCATACCAAGAAAGCGAGCTCTGGGCGAAGATGCTGCTAGGCGGTTTGAGACTGTATTCAGAAAGAGTCCGGTGCGTCCAATAAACATCATTGCTGCAGCATCAAGCCGCTGGAGGTAGCCCGCAGTGAGAAGAACAATTTGGGCATTGGCTGGTATATGTTAGTGCCTTTCTGCTATATAGGATACCTGGATAGAGTACCTTCTTGACACCTAATGGGAGCGTGCTGAATGTAGAACTTGTCTCCTGATTGATCTAGACTTTTACTAAGAAGAGTATTGATTGAGTCTAATTTGATCCATGTCAGCCAGAAACATTATCAAGAGCGCTTACTCCTACCTTCTTCCTGTGCTAATGTAGCCACTAGAGCACGGCGCAACCCAAGCGAATGGATCGAACCGCCTTGGCCTTTTGACAGCCAATCTATGATCTGACCTTGCAGATGTGACCGTTTTGACACGGCAATTGAGCAGAGAGCTGCTACGCTACTGACCACTTGTCCCGAGGTGTTGCTGGCACTGTCACCAGGTATCTCACTTGAGAACTGCTTTTTCTCAAGATCCCGAAAGACAGCCTCGAGCAGTGCTAGTTGTTCCGTTGGCCGGAGACGGTCAAAAAGCGAGCTGTACTGTTCGGAAAGTGGTCGCTGAACAAGAAGTCCGGTATAAATTTCTTTGACAACCTGATCTGTATCATGCTTAGCCTACCAAGCCTATCAGTAAAGGATTACTCAAATACCTGTATATCCCAAGCTTAGCGACCTCCCAGTCAAAAGAGCCACGGATTTCCAAGCCTCTTCATCATTGAGAGCAGTCTTCGATGCCATATAGCAGATGTTTGAACCTAGCCAGGTAGCGTATTTTGACCCTTTCCCGATCCATGAGATTGTAGAAATCCCGTCAAGGTCAGAGATCAGAGTAAGTGCTTCTGCCGCTGTAGACAATACTTTACTGGCAGCAAGCACCGAGAGCAACTCCCTCCAAGCCACTTGCTTCTGCGTCGCATTGCTGTACAGATTATCCATGTCAGCGTACAGGCGGAACGCAAAGTCGCTCGGCTCCAGCAGGGCGGAAATAACCGCAAGTGTATCTCTAATCTGTATTTTATGACCGGATGATTTCGCCTGCTCAGCCGATGAACGGGACGCAGCTATGAGAGAACGGAGCTGGGTCACCAAGCAACTGATACCCGCAACGCTGCTGAGACATCTCAAAAGAGCAGCTCGTAGCTTCGAATTACCAGACTTTGAACTCTGGGATTGTGGCCCAAGAGCCTCCCAATGATCCGGGATTGTGATGCTAACCAGAGCATTGAGAATTTGTGCTGTTACTGGGCGCGGGACCCGGATATCAAAACCATTTGGAGTTGCTGTCTTATTTGATGGATCTAATATGGATAGAACCTGAGCAAGTTCGTGCTCGTCGGGTTTTGCCTTCAAGACGGCCAAGATATGATCTGAGGATGTTGGGTCCCCGGGGAGATCGGCTTTGGACTGGTGCTCAGAGCCGTTAGATGTGGTAGTTGAGTATATTCCCTCGGCAGCAGCCGACAAGATGGGCTGCTGGCTGTGCTTGACCGTCTTAACGGCCGTAAGTAGACCATCCATTTTACAAATGTGGCATTATCCTCGTAATAGTTGCGAGGAAAGGAGGACCAAGTTGTGGAAGTTGGAGGAAATTGTATGGCGCGGAGGGGTCACGTGGGGCGGTGCTGTATCGATCTAACGACCATTCGAGATTCACACCATCCTCATCATCCCATCATCACCTTCACGCTATCTACGATCTGATAATTCGGAATCTATAGCAACTTAGCTCTTGGCCGTGGAGCTATTATTCTGCTTATATCTTGGACGCCAGATTATCTAAGCTGGCGCAGGAGCTCACAATAAGTGCAAGCTCGGAGGCAAGAGATCACTTGCTTATGCAACAAGAGCTTGAGTAGAGGCAAATCATTAGCCCAGACAACATAATCGGAAAATGGCAGCTAAAAGTTCGCCTCAGCGATGGTGAGATGATTTCTTCACCTCATAGCCGCAGCTGCTCATATCACCCAGGAAGCATCTATACAGCGTCCTGACTAAGTCCGGACCCTTCAGCGATGAAGACTGGGTCCCTGGTCCAGAGACGATAAGTGCTTTAGAGTCATCCAAAATTCTGTAGGTATCTGATCGTGTCGATACCGTCGTGCTCGCTAACGGTACTACAGGGTTATGTAAGTCAAGGCGATTTCTGTTCCATTAATAAGACATGGATAATAACCAAGCACTGCTTACAGCGGCGCTGGAGGACTAGGATGTGAGATTCTCAAAAATCTGGCTCTATCAGGCTTCAAAGACATCCACGTCATTGACATGGGTAAGTCCTTCCTGACTTGTAAACACTGCAAATGACCAACACGTGCAGATACGATCGATATCTCCAACTTGAACAGACAATTTCTATTTCGCCAGTCAGACATAGGCAAGCCCAAAGCTGAGGTTGCTGCTGCCTTTGTAGAGAGACGAGTCAAGGGGGTTAAGATCACACCATATGTAGGGAAGATCCAAGACAAAGACGAAGATTACTACATGCAATTCAAGATCATCGTCTGCGGTCTGGATAGCATTGAAGCCAGACGATGGATTAACTCGACGCTGGTCGGAATGGTCGATTTCGAGGATCCAGAAAGTCTGAAGCCACTCATCGATGGTGGAACAGAAGGTATGTTTGTTCACTTATGCTGGACGCAAAATAAAGCACAACTGACCGATAACAGGATTCAAGGGACAGGCGCGTGTGATTTTACCCACGCTTTCCTCTTGTATCGAGTGTCAGCTTGACATGCACGCGCCGCGACCGGCCGTCCCTCTTTGTACCATCGCAACCATTCCGCGACAGCCTCAACACTGCATCGAATGGGCTCATCAGATTGCCTGGCAGGAACAGCGCAAAGATGACGCCTTCGATAGTGACGACATGGAGCACATTGGCTGGGTCTACAATGCTGCTCTGGAGCGGGCGAAGCAGTTCAATATCTCTGGCGTCACCTTCCAGATGACTCAGGGAGTCGTTAAGAACATCATTCCGGCTATTGCCTCAACCAATGCTGTGATCGCAGCTGCGACTACCTCCGAGGCATTGAAGATTGCCACATCGTGCAACCCGTATCTTGAGAACTATATGATGTATGCAGGAGAAGAGGGCGTGTACACGTACACATTCGAGGCGGAGAAGAAGCCGGACTGTCCGGTGTGCGGAAACCTGGCACGCAAATTGACCGTGAACCCGAACATGACGCTGGAAGAATTTATCGAGACCCTTGGAGAACGGCCTGAGGCTCAGCTGAAGAAGCCCAGTATGAGGACGGAGGAGAAGACACTCTACCAAAGGTTCCCGCCGCAGTTGGAGGAACAGACTCGCGCTAATCTGAAGCTCAAGCTGAAGGACTTGATTGAGGACGGCCAGGAAATCGCAGTCAGTGACCCGGCGTATATCATCGATTTCCGCTTCCGACTGGCGTTTCAATAGACGAAGGGCCGCTGTGATGGACCGGCAACTACACGTTACGAAGAATCGCTGATGCTCTGATGATCATGTTCAAGACCTAGGAAGTCAAATCTGCTTTTTCTATCACAAAAAGATCCCAGTCCAGACTCCCAACAAGTGTAAAGAAGGTTGTCACCAACTTTTCGTAAATGTACAAAATCAACAAGACAATCCAACGCCAGGCCAATGCATTATATAGCTTTGAATCATTTTTCACGGAGGGCTGAGTCAAATGGCTTTGACTTAGCGCATAAGGTCCGTCAAGCCCCGCTTCCATCTTGCGCATTTCAGCTTCAGGACCTTGACACTCTCCAAGAAGAGGGTATCGCTTTCGAACTGGCCAACACTCTCGATGTTGAAGATGAAGTGGTCGCGGACGCGACCGAGCTTGACCTTGCCCTGGAACTCCTCGTGTCTCAGACACTCTCTGCTGACGGTATCCTTGAAGGGATCCACAACAACTGCCTTCAATTCGCCCTCGTGGCCCTCATATCCGCTGTCCTTCTGCTTGGCTTCATCACGGGTGACCTTCTCGAGGCCAATGACGCCGCTAGGGAAGCACTTGGCGAACTTCTTGGCATCGTCTCCAATGATGGGGCGGAGGATCTTGATGTCGGGGAGAAGACGGTAGGTAGCCGTGGCGACGGGGGAGAATTTGGCATGGTCGGCACCGATACCCTTGATACAGTGAAGTTCCATCTCGATCGACTGACCAGGACGGAGCTTGGCGACCAGGATGTCCGGGTTGACGGGCTGGATTGCGTCATCGCCAGCAAAGAATTGTTCCTGGCGACCGACGGGGTGGAATGTGATATCTTTGGCGTAGACGTGCGCATTCTTGTAGAGCTTGCGGGGATCATCTTCCTCCGGGTCCGCGTTGGGGTTCTTGGTGCATTCGACGTCCAAGCGCAAGACGATGGTGTTGTAGTCGGCGGGGTTGCTGCCATTGGGATCGTCGTCGGTGGGCTTCTTGAACCAGCGCATCCAGTTGATGCCCTCCACGGAACCCTTGAGGGGAATCAGACCCAGACGTTGTGCGAGAACCTCATCCTGGATGACAGAGGTGTTGTTGTGGACGAAAACGTATTCGATGGCGATGCTGGGCACCTCGGCCATGAGAATACGACGGAAGGCATTGGCAATGGAGGCGTCGACTCCGATGAGAGAGAAGGAGGACTCGAAACGCTCGTTGCGGTGGAAGTCGATCTTGAGATCCTGTTCGCAAAAAAAGGACGTGTGAGCGCAAAGCTGAGGGGACTTGTGTGGAGAAGTGGCATTGTGAGCGCGAACACTTGAATACTACCAACGTACATTCTTGAACTTTTCGAGGGACCATTCGTGCGACTCGCCGGGCCAATGGCCAGGGAAATCTGTGGAGGGGATGTTGGAGACGGTCTCTGGGTTGATGTCGACGATCTGGAAGTCAATGCAGTCAGTATCATGGACGAAATAGGGACAAGAGGTCACGGTCGGAAGACAGAACATACCCTTCTGCGATCAAGCTCCTCCTGCGAGGGAACGAGAGGCGCCATGATGAATGATGGACTTAGAAGCCGCGGGGAAATTTGGAGGAGGAAGAGGGACAGACGAAGTGGAGGGAGCAACTGCGAAAAGTTCTTTGGCGGAAGCGGCAGTATTTTCTCGAAATTCTGCAGGCCGCAAAGGCGGAGAGCTAGGTAGTTATAACACACCCAGCAGTTTAGGGGGAATCGGCACTAGTTACGGGAGTTTTAGGTGGCTCACGGCAGACCAACCAGAGACGGGCTGATGACCATAAGCTCCTCTCACGTGACTGCCCAAATTGTATCTCGCCTGGAAAGCGCAACCTCATCCAACGAGGAGCAAGCGTCAGTCCGCATCGCTTCCAATCCCCGCCAATTCCCCCTCCTTCCAACCCAATTGCGTCTGGATTGAGGGCTCTCCGCCTCGCTTCACCCTCATCCTCACTCCCCGCTCTCCCGAATGGCTGCTTCCTTCACTCGCCTGGCGGGCAGCGCGCCCAAAAGGCTCTGCCTCCGCCCCTCGAGCTTCTCCAGAAACACTGCTATCCCCAGATCCCGGACGATTTCGACGTCGCTGCCTCGCCGGTACGCAGAACCCACCAGCTACCAGGCCACCCGCCTCATCCCGGCCGACCCGACCTTCACATCTCTGGCCAACAAGGAGGGCCCTTCGGAGGCTGATGTGGGCGCCGCCCTCGAGTCCGAGGACTCTGGAGCCGGCCGCAAGATCCGCCATTACACCGTCAACTTCGGTCCTCAGCACCCTGCCGCTCACGGTGTGTTGCGTTTGATTCTGGAGCTCAATGGTGAAGAGATCGTCCGCGCCGATCCCCACGTCGGTCTGCTTCACCGTGGTACCGAGAAGTTGATTGAATACAAGTCCTACATGCAAGCCCTGCCATACTTCGACCGATTGGATTACGTCTCCATGATGACCAACGAGCAGTGCTTCTCCCTGGCTGTTGAGAAGCTGCTGAACGTTGAGATCCCCGAGAGAGCCAAGTACATCCGGACACTGTTCGGTGAGATGACACGCATTCTGAACCACCTCATGTCTGTCCTTTCCCACGCGATGGATGTTGGTGCTTTGACACCTTTCCTGTGGGGTTTCGAGGAACGTGAGAAGCTCATGGTAGGTGTTTTCTGGCATGCAAAGCTGCGTGGTAGCCGCAATGACTAACATGAGTCCTTGAATTTAGGAATTCTACGAGCGTGTCTCCGGTGCCCGTCTCCACGCTGCCTACGTCCGCCCTGGTGGTGTGTCCCAAGATTTGCCCCTTGGTCTCCTCGACGATATCTACCAGTGGGCTACTCAGTTCGGTGACCGCATTGACGAGACCGAGGAACTGCTCACGGATAACCGCATCTGGAAGGCCAGAACCCAGGGTGTTGGTGTTGTCAAGGCTGCCGATGCTCTTAACATGAGTTTCACCGGTGTTATGCTGCGTGGTTCCGGTGTCCCCTGGGATATCCGTAAGTCCCAGCCTTACGATGCCTACGACAAGGTTGAGTTCGACGTGCCCGTCGGTGTCAACGGTGACTGCTACGACCGTTACCTCTGCCGTATGGAGGAATTCCGCCAGTCCCTGCGCATCATCCACCAGTGCCTGAACCAGATGCCCGCTGGTCCCGTCCGTGTTGAGGACTACAAGATCTCCCCTCCTCCCCGTGCGGCCATGAAGGAGAACATGGAGGCTCTGATCCACCACTTCCTTCTGTTCACCAAGGGTTACGCCGTTCCCCCGGGTGAGACCTACTCCGCCATTGAGGCTCCCAAGGGTGAGATGGGTGTGTTCCTTGTCAGTGACGGTAGCGAGAGACCCTACCGCTGCAAGATCCGTGCTCCTGGATTTGCTCACTTGGGTGGTTTCGACCAAGTGTCTCGTGGCCACCTTTTGGCCGATGCTGTCGCTATTATCGGTAAGCTATACCTACATCGCCTCGACCAAATCAACAACAAACTAACATTTCTCTCTTTAGGAACGATGGATCTTGTGTTCGGTGAGGTTGACCGGTAGAAAAGGATAGGACCGTCTGATCTCCAACGAAGACCTGTATAACAGCTCAAAGACACATGACCCTGATTTATTGGTGCCAAAATCTCGATTAGAAGTTGCAGATATACCAAGAGAAAGATTAATTGTCTCTACTATTACCATCACATTCGGCTTGTGTGCGAGTTTGTGTAACAGGTCCCCGCTTTGGGCTATGGCGATCTCCCAAAAACCAGGTTCAACCTGCTGTACCAATGTCCTTTTGCTTGTTACTTTGCTTTATGGCGTTGAACTTTTTCCTTTGTATCTGTGTCGCTGATGTTGCTTCCGTCAACTGTGTCTGTCCTCCCCCTTTTTTCTTTCCTCCTTGTTCTCTCTTCCATAAACCCTGTGTATAGTGACTCAAAACATCGAGTATGATTTGGATTTGGTGCAGTAGTAGTAGAAGTAGTAGTTTATGGGAAGTGTGGACGTAAAACCATATGGGTAGTTTTGTCTGTATACGGAAGAGAGTATGTAGCGAAATATGTATGTGTGTATATATGGTGTAAATATATAAGACAGGAGATGTAACTGTGTAAAGAAAGAACTAAAGAGCAAACAAGTAAGAATAAAACCCACGCGTAAATGCATTTCATGCATAATACCAACGCTCCACTCGATTTCCGGTTGAACTCCTTGTTCGCCTTGATAAGAACCAAGCAAGCAAGCAAAGCAATTAGTGAAATAAAAGAGGAAAGGGCTCTTGAGTGATATGTATAATGAAAAAGAAGATGGAAGATCAAGATCACGCGCCAATATCAATGCAATCACCACCACCACCACCAATTTCACCTTCCCAGTCCCCAGGAATATTATACATTATCATCATCATAATGAAAATTAATATCCCTAGGTCTCCTCCGATTATACGACACAAAGTCACTATCACCGGGAGGTCGCTCATTGCGCGAATTAGCGGTCAACATGCTCTGAATACTCATGCAGACGCTCTCGACCGTCTGTACGGGTGACCAGCCTGCCGAGCTGAGCAGATCGAGACATATTATGCCGTTGCTGTAGATGTGTGGGTGGATGGGGATGGGACGGGGGTGGTCGGAGGTGGGTGGGCATTCGATGAATTGGACTTCGGGGGGTTCTATTCCGATTTGAATTGCAGATGCGTTAGTTTGTTTACTTAAGATTCGACTGGGGGAGGAGATTGTGGGGGGTCAATTACCGATTGGGTACTTATTGCTAAAGGTGAATTTTAGCCGGTAGGTCTCGTTTTGGTAGAGCGGGTTGGAGTCGAGGACTTTGATGTCCATTTGCCATTCCTCGAGGTTTTCGGACTTGACGATTGTGATCCCGGGGGGAAGGTGGTCTTTCATCTGTGGTGGGGGTGTTAGTTGATTTGTGAACGAGTGGCGCCATTGGAGTGTAGATCCTGGTTGTGGTCGGTTTGGTAGGGTGAATGTTGCAGGGATGGGTACCTTTAGGAGCTCCTGTATGCAGACCTGTGTTAGTTGCAATGATTGAGATGATGAGCGGGGTGGTAGGTGGCATGATGACTTACCTTGCTCAGGCGCTTGCCGGCGAACATGGTGGGCAGAGCGCCTCTTCAAGGCCGAAGTGATAGCTAGTTGATCGGAGATTGTCCAGGGAAGATTTGGTGGGTGATAGTCGTGCCAGCCTTGTCGGGAGAAATTGTCAGATCGTGGAGGCGCACAGATGTATGACGTCTACAACTTAGGGCGGGGCGATCGACAAGACAGCGGATGAGTTGTTGGACGGGGCGGGCTCAGTGAAAGATTGAAGAGTAACAATTCTAAGGGATCTAGTGGTAGTGAATGCCCGAGAGAGATCTGAGTGAAGAGAGACTGAAGAGGGGAACATGAAGGAGAGGGGACAGGAAGTTACTTAAAAAGAGGGCCGCGAGGGTATCTCCGGGCGATCATCTGCTGGCGGTGGCTGACGGGGCCGCACCCCATCACCTGATTGGCCCGGACCGATCACGCTGGGGGCATCCCCCACGTGATATCCCGGCATCTGATTTGGTCATGATTAGAGTTGTTTCTACTTGCCTGGTCCCAATTTGGAGGCAATTACATCGATGCGAGTCATCTACATGCGGCGTATAGTTGGAAGATCATGTCAAGCCGAATATGCATTCAGATCACAGAAAGGAATATTATCTCCGTAAACCGAAGCCTCCATTAAAATCCCATCTCGTTCAGCAAACCAAGAAACAGCAAAAAGAATACGCCAGATCAGTATATGGACGGGGAATCATCGAAAGTTATTCACAGAAAACAGTTCAGTGATGGTCCGTGACCCAACAAGAATGGAACCGGTGCAGCAGCAGAAAGCAAGTCTCTATCAACGCCATCCGATCAAGCCTCATGCATGGGTGGTCCGTTCACGAGCTTCACGCTCAACCTTCTCGCGCTCCTCGTTCTCCTTCACCTCACGGACCTTGGCAAGCACAACTTCACGGAAGATGGCGCCGCGGGCAATCTTGCTCAGACTGCGCTTCTTCGTGCCCGTCGCCTCGCCCTCCGCTGGCGCGGAATCCGACTTGCCATTGGGCGAGAGTTGAGGGAAGGGCGTCGTCCCAGATGCCTTCTCTGCCATTTCCACCGGGCTGGGGATGTCCTCATCATCCTCCTGCATCTTGAGCGCCTCAATGCGGTTCGCCAGCTTGATGATCTCGATGCCTCGGCGGAGACGAGAGCGGGCAATGTAGGCACGGATCTCGGGCAGCAAGTCGCGGTCGCTGGCCGATTCACCGGTCAACCAGGTGTGTTTCAAAGCTTCATCGGATGTGACACGCTTGGAAGGATCGGGCTGCAATAGGGTGAGGATGAAGTCCTTGGCGTCCTGGGAAACATCGCGCCAGTAGCGCTCGTGGAAGATGATCTTTCCGCTTCGGCACTCTTCAATCAAGTCGGACAGGTTCTCGGAGCGGAAGGGGGAGTAACCGCAAAGCAGGGTATAGGTGATCACACCGAGGGACCACATATCGACGGCCTTGCCATGACCCTGCTTGAGCATGACCTCTGGGGCGGCGTAGCCGAAGGAGCCCGCCATGCTGGTCAGGACCTCGCTCGGGCTATCCAGCATCTTGGCAATACCGAAATCTGCGAGGACCAGAGGGGAATGGGGGTCGGGGCCAAGGTAGAGAAGGTTTTCGGGTTTCAGGTCTAGTCAGAGTGGATGCCCAGATTAGCCCAAGCCTTGAAGATGAATAACTGAATCAATTGAACGTACCTCGGTGAACGATATTGCGTTCGTGCAGGTAGTGGACGGCGCCCAGCACCTGGCGAATGGTCTGAGAGGCATCCTTTTCGGTGAACTTGCCGTACTCGCAGATCCGGTCGAACAGCTCACCACCAGTGGCCAGCTGTGTGACAATGTAGAATTTATCCTGCCACAGCGTTAGAGACAGGGGAACGTCTAGAGTATCCTTGATGCAACCGACCTTCGATTCGAACCAATCGACGAAATGGACAATGTTGGGATGGTCGAGAGCCTGAAGCATCTCTAGTTCATCGTAGACCATGCGTTCGTTGCCCCGGACATTCTTCTTCAGGATGATCTTGATGGCGACCTTGCCCTTGCTGCTGTCGGCTTCACGAACGATACCGTACGTACCAGCGCCGAGTGTGCGTCCGAACTTGTAGTGGGACCTGAAACGAGTTGCACAGCGGTTATTATATGTCTGCAGATGTAAGGGGAGGCGAGAAGGATCCTATCGTACTTTTTCTCGTAGCTTTCGGGCTGTCCCGACAGCTTGTTGAGCATATTATGGACTGTGAAACCACCCATTGGTCAGCGCTTGGATGTTGCAGGAATGGAGAGAACAAGTAGTATAGCCGCTCAATAAAACCACCAGAGAGGTGGACGGGTGCAAGCAGGGCAAGTAGTGATGGGACGATCGAACCGAAGAGCCAGAACAGGATGAGAATGCCACCTGCATGGACGCAATGGCCCCAGGTGATGGTGGAAATCAGAGACAAAGACATGGCTCATGAAAGACATGAGGCTGCTGCCGTCCGGGCGCGAAATAGCACAGAAACCAATCAATGGCTGTCAATGGCAAGCTGGGCTAATGAAAGTGTATGCCATCGTGGAATGAACGAATGGCTGATCGGCGACGAAAGGAAGAAGAAAAGAGAAGGGAAACGAAGAAAGGCAAAGACCTACAACTCATGGTGACTGGAGTAGAAGGGCCTTAGTGAAGGCCCTAGGAAGGGGGGTTAATCCGTGAGTAGTAAGTAGTGTGCGGTGGGCTCGAGACCAGCGAGCGCGAAGCTGAATGGGAACCCCGCACGTGAGGGAGGTTGGTAGCGGGGCGATTCAAAAGAGTCAAGATCGCGAAAGTCGCGTTTGGAGGATTCGAGGATGAAGGTTGAAAATAGAGATCTGGGGGAGGAAGACGGGAGAAGTAAGTATTTGGTGGGATTAACTTCCGTACACGAGCAGCGACAGCGTCCGTGTGGAGGGAGGAGAGGGGGGGAAGGCTGATTGATGGTGGGTAAATCCCTCCATCCACCGATAGGGGGTAGAAAAAAAGACTAAGACTAAGTAACTGGGTAAACACACGGTACCTGATCGGGGGGTTGCTGCTTATCGCTTGTAATGGTGGGCTGCACGTGCAAGTCTCTGGCAGGCAAAGCAAGGCAATGCAATGCGGTGTTGTTGTCGGTCGAAAAGGAAATAAGGGAAGGAAGCTAAACAGTTGATAGACAGCTGAAACTGACCAGAAAAGAAGAAGAAAGGGAATAATACTAGCGAGCCGAGCGATTAAATCTGGTTAAGGAGGGGGGAAAAGAGAGCGAGAAAAAGGTCGAGTTCTGGCCCGGCGATAGAGTTTAACCCATTAATCCCATGGCTGCCCAGCACAGCCACGGGGGGGTTTCTCTCTCAGCGGGGCTCAATCTCGAAGGGAAATCCTATCTATAGGGATTGGATGGTGGAGGTCGGAGTGATGGAGCGGCCACGCAAGGCTGATGCTCCTCCAGGCAGCGCATTTTAGTAGGCTTAGGCTGATCCATGGATGCAGTTGGTCCCATAGTCACAATTAGTTTTAAGTCTGGTGTGTTCAACTACTACATAATGCAGTGTAATCCGGGTGTGGATATCCGTCTGGTATTGACACATTGTTCACTTCACAGCCTTATGCTTTCTACGAAATTATGACCATCATATTCTACTGTATGTAAGTGATGATTATATTTTGGTAGAATTTTTCGCCCTGAAAAATGAGGGAATCTAGAATAAAAAGCGGCTTAGGGTGAAACGGGCCCCCAAATCTGAAATCGGCCAGCGGGCCAATGCTGACACGCCTTTCTCCTCCAGGCTGAAACATTGCCGACAGTCAGTCCCTGGAGCTAATTATTTTGGGACTTTGTGCCTTGGGCACCAGCCACACACCAGAAGAAAAGGTCTCATCTCGAACAGAAATACATTGAAGTATGTCGTATTCGTTGTTTTATGTATTTGTTATTTTGTACTTCGAGTCTTCAAACTGAGACATATTGGCCACGATATAAAAGGGGCTATGTCCGCCAAGTTTCTGATACTAACTATTTTTTTTGTTTTTTGGCCCCCTTTAAAGGATTGGCGCGGAGATGCAGCCTAAAATCTCATCTGGGATGCTTAGCCGGATTAACGCCGGTTCATTGGATCACCCTCTAGCCCTGACAGGCTGACTGACGGCCTGCTCTCTCCGGATGATTCCTGTCCTTCTCCACTCGGGCTGAATGCAAGTTTGCTGGGCTAGCCTCGTGGAAATTCCAGTTAGCTAGATTCCTTGATTACTTTCTACGTGGGCTTGATTAGGCTGTCTGACTTGCGACTTCATCTTGAAGGAGGCTCAACCATTTCATTGAGCAAGCACATGTATTACCATAATGGGTATAATGACACTAACAAACATCCTATCATGAACCATAACTAACACCAAATACCTCCTAAGCCATCACGGTCATCATGTAACAATCTCAAGATCTTCCCAAATACAATTCATCCAACACTCGCTCACAATACGCCCGATAATATCCTTCCCCCTTCCATCCACTGTTCTGTCCCCGAATTCCTACGGTCTGCCATCCATCCCTTCGCAATCTCGCAATTCGTTGCTCTGTACCCTCCTTGACCCCCAACGAAGACTTTCCCTTTCCAATGTCATCGCCGTCAGCAACATGCTTCTCCTTGACCGGACTAAAGCTCCAAAAAGATCCAGAGCGTCGCATTCCCTTGGACATGCGCCGTGCATACTGCATCTCAGCCACGTCCGTGATCATTTTATGCAGCGTGGTGATGCTTGAAGTGACCTGCTGACGGAGGAAATCGATTGTTGTGTGGGTGTATAGTTCGCCTTTGTAACCTGGTGTATTGACCGATTGCCATGTTTGTGTACCGACTTCCTTCTTGGGTCCCGTATAGATAGGCGCAGAAGTAGTGGGAGCAGCAATCCTCAACGGCAATGGCAACGAAACCCTAACTCCTGCCTTAGCCGTACCCATAGCATGATCCTCACCCTCGGAACCCTGCAGAGAGCTACTACCTCCAACCGACTCCCCAGACACCTTCCGCACCTTCAACGGCGAAGGAACAAGACCACGCTCATCCCCATCTCCAATCCCGTCTCCACCTTCATCAAAAAGCGACACTTCACTATACGTCGAGATAGTGGTGTTGGTATAATCGAAGCTGTTATCACTCTCACCCGAGAACAGTATCTCTTCCTCATCCCATTTTCTACCATCTTCCCCATCATGATCATAATCAGGACGATGGTACTCCACAAACGGATCATCATCATCTTCCTCACACATCAGCACCCCACTGCCACCATCCCGACTACCCTGCACCTCCTCCAAAACACCCCCACAAACCCCAAACCACTCCACAGCCGCCTGCAAAAGTGGTATTTTCTGGGCGGAGAACTGATGGGCCGCGAGACCCATCCCCTCATATGAAATGGCCATGTAGAATGTGAGATAAGTTTTGTATATCTATACCGCACAGGAACACCATCCGATCATTTGGAGAAACTTGTTAGCACATGATTTCAAAGACATTTCAAAGTAATATAGTATATTCTCATAGTTAGGAAAAAAAAATAAATGAATAGAGATAGGATAGAATAGTTTTGACTGTACCGGCTGCTCCGTTAGAGACAAATGTTCTGCTGCGTGCGCGATGCATTGGCGGTAGTGGTGGGAGGTGTAGAGGTTTTTGATTGTGCGGAGGGTGAGGGGCCAATTTGTGATTCCTGATTTTCTGGTTCTTGGTGTGGTTGTTGGGTGGAAGGTTGGTGATGGAGATGGTGATGGAGATGGGGTTGAGGGTGGAGGTGATGGAGTGGTCATCTTATTTTGTGTATGTGTGTCTATATGGACTTGTGGTCAAAGATTGTTGATCGTCAGTTGGGTCATGGGGATACTAAGTCCTGAAGATGTCGAAGGAGATTGATGAGGAGTAGTTGTCTTGAAGTTAGATAACGGATATAGAAATGGCAATGAGATGCATCCACCTCATGACGCGCGTCACGTCCAGACGTGACGAGGTTGAGTTTCGTGTCGAGCCACGAGGGTCGGGATTATACAGTAGTTATCTAGACCTTGATCGTGATTGCAATGTTTGTTGGTAAGATATTGTTGCAGTGGGTTCCTATACAAAAGTTGGGCCTGACCGTCAGTGAATGCTGAATACTCATTACGACAGCCTGTCAAACTGACAGCATACATCAGATACTATGGTTTCATTATGACTGCAGAAATTCAATTTACATCATTTTGCTCAACCGTATCATCCAGCACGAACACCGAAATATGCCCAACAGCCCTCAACGACAAGTGCTTTTACCAGTCAGAAACCGTAAGACGCCAGCAGTCCGATATGTTCTTATTTGAAACCAGCCACAGACTACCCACCTACTCAGCCTCTGGTTTGACCTCCTCTTTCACCTCCGGACCAAGATTGACTCTAGATAAAGCCTGTCCGGTGGAGTTCAATGAGTCAATGAAGCTTTCTAACAGTCGATCCAACTCCCCAGCTATCGCGTGGTCGTTCGCACCAGCCATGAAGAGCTCAAGTTGAGGCAGAGGGAGCTCGGGGAACAGGATCGGCTCTCCATCGTCAGTGGTGAGCGAAGGAAAATTAGTCCGAGCTGTAGGCAAGGAGTCCGATACGGAGGAACTAGCAGACGGGACGAAGGGGAGGCTGAGGTCCATGCTTTTGGTGGGGATCGCTGTCGGGAAGGGTTCAGACAAAGAGGGATCGTCCGTGTTCTCAGAAGGCTTCTGCCACACATCATCCGTCTCCTCTTCTTCATCGGGACCAGGGCCGTCCATAATGATGGACTGGTCGTAGTTAGGGTACTTGAAAGTATTCAGCAACTGGGGATATTCAGGACTTTTTGGGTCCGCGGGCGCCTGGCTGGGTGGTGTGGAAGGCCGATCAAAGCGGAAGGGGTCATAGTCAGTCTCAGATCCATTGGACTCGCCGGATCGAGACGTAGATGGCCGGGAGTCCCCGGGCTCACCAATACTAGAGCGCCGGACTGTGGCTGAAGGCTGGCTCTCCACAATCGGCGCCTTCAGTGTATCATACTGACTAGTATCCGTAAAGTTGTCGCTGCTGGCGCCCCCATCATTTGCTGGAGCGGTCATGACGGGGAATGTCCATTCCATAGTTGCACGTTTGTCGGATGTGTCGGGCTCAGCCGGCTTCGTCTCTGGTTCTGGTGGGCTGGCTGGCTCAGCCTCCTCCGTTGGAGGTTGCATGAACACAGGAAACTTCCAGTCCATTGTAGGAGGACGGGGCCCAGTCTGGGGCTGGAATGTCATATCCTCGGAGCCCCGGTTGCTACTCACGCCGCTGCTGGACGAACGCGAACGGCCTTCAACAGAGTTCCGGTGCTGACGCCCACTCGTCCGGTTCGCTCGAATAGTATCCGCATCAGCAAGTTGGAATGGCTGGGCTGAGGTTGCCCCGGCAGCATAGTGTGAAGAATCAAAGGAGCCAATGTCAATGTCAATGAAGGTCGAGGTGACTGATGATCGATCGGTATCAGTGCGAAGCGGAAGATCCGACGTAGGGGCTTTTGGCTCGATTGGGACGAAGTCATTCTTGGTTTCATACTTGTAGCTTGGCTTGTCTTCATCGAAGAGACCCTCCATCGCCGCAGCTCCCCGACGCACACGCTCGTCAAAGTTTGCTTTATCCTCCGGCGTCATGTCCTTGTCCGATCCGTCCTCAGATGATTCATGATCCGAGCTAGGCACTGTGGTTGGACTAATTTGATCTTCCATCTCCGCCAGAGAGGCGGCCAGCTGGTCAAGATCAATGACTGAGAAGCGACGCTCAAAACCATCTGTCGTACTGAAGTTCCAGTCCTCTTCATAATCTTGTTCATTGCCGGGGATTTCTGCTGCAGCAGCACCTCCAGGGTGGAAGAGAGAAATGCGCTGACCACCACGCTGTGACCATTGATAATAGATGCGGACCAGCTCGCTGAGTGATGCAGTAGGATATGCGTCCTCAGTATCAGCGACGTAAGGGTGTGTCAATATATCTGCCATACCAGGGCGAGTGACCGGGTTGGATTCTAGAGCAAATGAAACGATGCTCTTAAGACCGTCGCTATATTTGTCGGTGTCCAGCTTTGGAGTGTTGCGAGTGATCTGTCTGCCGATTTGCATACGTTCGCGAAGATTCGAGTTAGGGGGATTGCCCGTGGCAAATTCAAACAAGGTACAGCCATAGGCCCACACATCAATCTATAGCAGTCAGTATGGAAAAGTTCACTCGAAGGCGTATATCTCACCTCACTACCGTACTTGTGGGCTTCACCGCGAGTCGCAAACATCTCGGGTGGCATCCAGTGTGGTGTCCCAATCCAAGTGGACCGCTTGTCCATCTGAGATTGAAGCACTCCGGCGACACCAAAGTCACAAATTTGCAGTCTTCCCTCCTCGTGGATCAAGATATTGGCAGCTTTAGATAGTCAGTCGCAAGCCCGGTAGCATTAAGGTAGTTGCTTACCTTTGATATCTCTGTGGATGACGCCGGCATCATGAATGGCGCGTAACCCAGCAGCAAGCTCTCGAGCGATAGGGATGATAAACTTTTCCTCAAGCCGGTCGCCGGTCGCTCGCATCTGCAGTAGAATGACATTAGCACACAGATAGACAATATGCTTACGAAGGCAGAGAATGGCAAGAGAAATGCACGCACCAAGGTTCTAACACTACCACCAGGGCAGTATTCGCAAACCAGCCACAGTTGTGAGTGGATGGAGATTGCCTCGATTAGTTCGTTGATGTTCCTCGCACCCGCGTCCTTGACCTGCTTCATCACCCTGATCTCGTGGATAAAGTCCTTGATTGACTCATCTCTGAAGTCACGAACAGTCTGATAGTCCACCGAATCAATATCCATCACCTTGATGGCGACGACCTTACTGGAGGGAAGCTGGTGACCTTTGTAGACGCGTCCGTATGAGCCCTTTCCGATCAACTCCTCGAATTCGTAAGGGGGTGTATTTGTTTTGGCTCTGCGGCACATCTCTCGGACAGCAACACCCTGTTCACGAGCAAGCTTTATGGCTTCGGCCTTATGCTTGGAGAGGGCAGCCACCGCCGGGTCCAGAAAGCGCGATCCACGTGAGGGATCCATGGTGGTATCGGAATGCTCTGAGGGTAGCGGATGATCTTGTGAGCCAATGGGGGAATCAACTGGTTGTTGACAGACAGAAGGCTGGCGGGGCCGGATGAATGTCTCGGGACTAGGATGATTCCCAGCGTCCAAGGGTATAGAGGGGAGAGTAGCTTGGGCACCTAGAGACTCACAATCAAATGCTGGGAAACACTCAGTAGGAGAGACAGGCGTGATGGGAGGACCGAGAGGGTTTCCAGGGGAATGGAAATTCACCGGAGGAAATTGAGGTGGAGTGTGGATGAAGGGCGGAGAGATGGGGGAGGAAGGATCCCAGTAGTAGCCTGTGGGAGGAGCTCCACACACGCCTTGAGCAAACGGTAAGACTTGCGCTCGACGATGTTCGTAGGAATTGGGGAAGTGGGTGGATAAGGGAGCAATGGTAAGGGGAGGCACGCTGATTAAGAACGGGTCAGCAAGGGTCAATCTTGCCGGTGCCGGTCTTTCCTCTTCTTCCTTGGACCGTCCTGGCCAAAAGAGGTTCTGAAGAGCAGAGCCAATCTTGGAATCCGAGCCTCCAGTACGCGGCGAATGTCTCTGGAAGTTGCGACCAAAAGGGTAAGTGTGCGAACGGAAGAGTCGCCTTCGACGGAGAGAGTCGCCCGGCTTGGTGGCACGTGCTTCAACTGGAGATTGTTCGTCCGGTGTTTTCGAGGTGGGCTTCCTGCCGAAAAATGGCAGTCGTTCTCGCCTACTGCTGCCTGAGCGCTGGTGAGATCGGTAAACCGGTTGCTCACTCGCGCTCTTCTTATGCAACAGGCCCCGCTGCCGACGGTTATTTCCGTCCTCGAACAGACTCTCTTTTGGGCCTATATAGTGATTAGCTCTTCCAAACTCGAGTCTAAATTCGACGGAAACTTACTATTATGCCCGTCTAGGCCCGCTACGCTGCCTTGATCACCCCCCTGGCGATGCTCCTGCCAGGCTTGGGGACTGCAACTAAATCAGCATTTATAATCAAGCAATTAGGATATTCCAAACCCGTCGACGCGTTCGCAAGGCTCAAACAAGCTTAAGCCTGCCATTATCAGGGATCACGCAGAAAAAGACGCGACTTTTGAGAGAGAAATAACGAGGAACGAGGAAATCGTCACGAACACGGCTCATCGACGACTATGACACGACGCAGAAAGACAAGCAGGAGAAGCAAGCGGCAGAAGACGAAGAAATAACGACAGACACGGGACATGATCGCCCAATTCACTAACTTACGTCGAAGCTAAAAATGGGAGTATCCCAATATAGAACAGATCGGATGCTGCGAGAGGCCCTAGCCGAGCGTCCCGTGTCTCATTCACGGAGCAGGAGGGCGAGTCTCACTGTTGGCTGATTTGCAGGAACCTATAAAACCAGCCAGTGAACTATAAGGTGTTAGCTACATACTAAAACACATCATGCTGTTCCCGGGGAGCTGTGATCCCAAGCACTGTGAAAGCCCACCCAGGACAGGCGCAAACTCACCTCAAATGCTGTGTTGCACTGAAGCCCACAATGACGTGAATATAAGGCGGTGAGAGGTGTAAAGAAGAAGAAGACGCTAGTTTAGCGCCCGGCAGAATCCAGTTCTCCAAAGTGCTAGGCAGTCGAGCTCAAGTGAATTCGAGATATTTGATATATGGTGAAGTACACAGGCCACGTGCTATGACTCTGACCAATCAGATTCACCTTTCGGTACACCCAAGAAGTGGCAATCTGCGATATGTGAAAGCCTCTCTATATTCACACCCTTGAGTTCACCCACACAATTCTGTGGCATGAACAGAGAATCCAGATGCCAGATGCTGGAACAAACGGAATCTTCAAAGCGAAATAATCTGCATGCTGGTTAGCACTGCACCAGCTAGCATCTACAAAACAGAGCACACTATTCAAGCCAAGTAAAAAGGAGACAGTAATCACGAATGGCTTCACATGCAGGCATGAAACAGCCACTGAGCCCAGGACCCAGCTTGATTAGTTAGGCATCTTGCATCCTAACCGCCTCATACCAATCACGTGACACTGAGAGACCAACGCCAGAATTCCAACGAACAGCTGTCCAGCAAGCAATTCGACCACCAAAAGACACGGAACATAACCCTCTATTGCTATCTATGAAAACTCCAAGACCACTCACCTACAACAAGCACCCAAAAATCCTAGGACCAAGCCAGCTGGTCTACCATAAGGCAACGAACAAGAAACCGGACGTTCGTCAATGCAGGGGTAACGGGATCAGGGCAACGGCAAAACGGAAAGAGAAGAAAGTCTAAGGGGTATCAAGAGCTGGATGGAATAATATCAATAATAAAAAACAAGATACATCGTCTCTCCTCTCTCGTTAGATAGTTATATCGACAATTTAAGGCAGTCGATGGAGGGTTTTGGGGCAAACGTTCGATTAAAGTTCCAGAGCGTTCGTTCGGGATAGTGTCACGCTGGTGGGTGGATCAACCGGCGGAATATTGTTTTCACGCGGTTCCGATGTCTTTGGTTTCTACAAATGTGATAAATAATAGCTGCGCAACGAGGAGGAATCATGAAGCTTGTGGGTTTTCAAAGGCTATTAATTACAGGATATTTTTATACGAGTGTCAGTCCATGATAACCTTACCTGTACTAAGGAGGAATTCTACTGAGACAAAACAATAATTCAATTTGTTTACTCTATAACCGATTTCACGCTAGAATTAGGATGGGTTATCTACTTCTTTCGTATTTACATCTTCTTGAAGAAGTCAACCGCTCTCTACAGACCGAACTGAACTCTCAGAGAATCACCGAACCGCCGAATAGCTTCAGTGATGCCTTCCGAGCTAGCGGCAGCAAACGTAGCGCGGAAGAACATCTTCTCCTCGTTGACTCCAGACGCCTTAAACCAGCTGCCACGAGAGACAAGGACGCCGTTATCAATGGCAGCGAGGAATACTTCCTCTTCGATGGATTCACGAGTCTTGCCGGAAGCCAAGCCAGGGTGCTTCTTCCAATCAACCTCGATCCAGTGCTATCGGTGTGTTAGCTTATCGTCTCACCCGGGAGTTATAGTAGTCATAGTGTACTTACGAACATGCCTGCTGCAGGGGGAATCCACTGAGCAATTTCGCGAGGCAGGTACTGTTCACAAGCATGCATCATCGTATCACGGCGGCCAGTGTACTGCATGCGCAGGTTGATCAGCCAGTCAAGGTATCCAGAGTGACCCCAGTGCTCATCGAGAAGCTTGTAGAAGATCAGCTGGGAGATACCGCTAGGGTTCTGGGCCGAGGTCTCGCAGTTCCGGATGAATCGTTCCACAACCTGATCCGCGGCGACAATCCAGCCAGCGCGAGATCCAGGAGAAAGGACCTTGGAGAATGACTCGATGCGAAGGACACGTCCATCGACGTCGAGGCTCAGGTAGGATGGCACGAGGGACTTGAGGAAGTCTTCGTGGGTCGCCGGGGGCGGGACGGGCTCGCTGTCAGCACCAGCGTAGGGCTGCATCTGCAAGAAGTAGTACGGCTCATCCTCCACAATGTACACATCGTGCTTCTGGGCGACCTTGTACACAGCCTTACGCCGCTCTGCGGACTGAGTAGCACCGGTTGGGTTCTGACCAGTGGGGATGGTGTACAGCACGTAAGGCTTGGGACCACCCCGGGCGGCTTCGTCCCAGTTGCTCAGAATCTCATCAAGGGACTCGGGCAAAAGACCCTCCCCGTCCATTCTGATCGGCGCCACCTTCAGTCCAAGAGGAAGCGCAGTCTCCTGGGCACTAGCAAAAGTGTACTCTTCCATCAAGATGTAGTCCCCGCGGTTGCAAAGCATGCGGAGGATCGTGTCCCACGCGTACGTGCTACCTGCGGTCAAACAGCATTGCCAATCGGCATAGGGAGGGTTGTGAATGAGCTAGTAGCGATTAGTCCATGTCACACATGTCAGAAATGGCTTGTATTGCCTCCACATACTTCGGTGTGTTCCGTCACGAACCTAAGCAACTGGGGAGTTCCCGAAGCCTGGCCATAGTTAAGGGCAACCTCCAAGTCTAATCATTTGTTTTGATTAGTATGCAACTTAACGCGCGGGGGCTAGAGGAAACTAACCGTAAAGACTCTTTCCGGTGCGCACGTCACCCTTACTCGCGGTCAGAAGAGCACCGGAATTCTGAATAGCCTCCGGGGAGAAATCAGGGGCGTTGGGGACCTTGACGGAGAGCTGCTCAATGGGAAAGTATTCCGGAGAGGGAAGGCCGCCACCCAGAGAGATCAATCCGGGGTTCTTCAGGTACCGCGCAGCACCCTTCAAGGTTGAACTCTAACAAAAGCTTCAGTATTTATGTACACCGCAACAACGTGTATAGACGGACAAACCTTCCGGGACTTGGATTCGACGGAGAAAATGTCTTGCGAGGGATTAGTGATTGGCCGACACGGAGGCAATCGGGCGACTTACGATCCCAGCGTTTCGATTGAGGCTTGGTGAAGCAGTGCTAGACGAAAGAACAGTAAGGTCAGTCGGTCATTCGCCACGGGGTATTGTCGGTTTGTGAAGGCGAGAAAATAACATACCGGGCTCTTGAACATGTCACTGTTCGTAGCAGGAGCAACACCGGTGGGAATCTTTGCGCTCTTGGCTCTCAGGGCAGGGATGGCATCAACCGTCAATGGGCCGGTAGCGGCAACCGAGCCCACGTTGATTGAGTCATTGTCCACGGCGACGGGAGGGCTCATTCTTGAGACAGGGGTGTGATGGAACGTAGTGAACTTGGTGAATATAGAAAGCAGATGAGTGTATGCACACAGTCCACACAAAAGTCAGTGTAGCAAGGTAGACGATTGAGAGAGAAATTCACGATGCAGGCGAACTGATGGCGAAACTGAGAAGGAGAATCGAGTCACGCAGGGGCGTCCGCTTTTTTCTCCGCTTAAGTGGGCGGACCGGTTCCGCCGGTAATGCATCATTGGGTCGATGGGGACCGGATTCATCCACCACGAGGCATGCATAAGGGGCGCCATTGCTGATGGAAGGAAGGCAGAAGCAATCAGATGCCATGGAGGAGCTTCACCGCGTTTTCGTTATCTAATATCACTGTAGGATGCCGCAAACTGATGCGATGTGACGCTGTCGTTCACAGGGCGCGGCGGGCGGCGATAACGTAATTGGTATTCCCGATACAGTCTCCGTATGCTTGGGCCTGCAGTGTTACTTAAGGCAACTTCATTTTAACTGCTTGTCAAGCACAGAGCCATTGGTTGGTGCCAGGTAGCTTGGTGGGACATCGAGTAATCGTTATTCTGCTCCGACTTGGCCTGAAGAGAATGAGGGGAAAGCTCAAGCAGAAGCAAGGACCAACAACTACTGCTGCCAGACAGACAGCAAGAATGCATGGGAAATTAAATTACCGCTCGGGTGACAACCCCGCGCCTAGATAAGGCTATCGCCGGCATCGGACTTGCTTATCAACCCGATAAGATCTTGGCCTTGTCCCCAAATAGGCAATGGAAACGAACTATCATGACTTCTACTACTGCCTACCCACGAGTTAGGGACTAACCTGTGTACACGTCTGTCCTGGAGAGATGGAGCCACAACTACTATTACTGGGTGTGACAGCCATGCCTGGTAAAGTTAAGGAGGGGATTCATGTGGTAAGCCTGCATTTGTTGGGTCTACCCCTCTTTTCATATGGTTTCTGGCAGGAGAAAAGCATGAGTCTGTGCTCACCATAAATGAAGAATTACAGGAACACAGTATTACCATGCCGATATCTCGTCCATAACGAAGAGCTGAACAGAAGTCCATCCAATGTACACAAACTGATGCATACAAGATGCGGATTTGTGTATCTCTCTCTCCTTCGGACCACCCGCAAACCACTACAAAGGTTTACTGAGCTACACAGGTCCTCAGATTACACAATAATATGATTCCGTATATCTCTTGTTAATCTAATAATTTCGACAGTTGCGTCAGGAGGAGGTCTACCATGACAATCATCATATGCCTCTCAGTATAGAATATTCGGTAGGTGACGAATCCTGGAGCTGGCTCAAGCTGGCTCGAGGTAACTCTCATGACTTCCTTCAAGAGAATCTTCAGGCTATACATCAGAATATACTACAACAGTCGGCTCAACCTGGAAAGAGCGATCTAGCTCTTCGATGTGACGTATCATGGGCTACTGCCCTTCTAGGTTTGGGGACTAAATCTGCTCAAGTGTCGTTTTTGGTTCTCAGCTGGAGACAACGCCAGCTAGTATCCCTTGGCCAATTCCAACACAGAAGAGGATGTATCATGATCACGCTGAGATCACTAAGTCAAATTGTTGTCTTCCCCTCTCTGAAGCCATCACAAGCCACTTGCTATCATCCGAGTCTACCCGGGTGAGGCCACAGCTGCCACACCCAAGTCTAGATCAATGTCTCAGTAGTGGTGAACTTGGATGAAATAAGTATGACAGGAAGCCCCCTCATGACATTTGCTATACATAACTCTCAACTGAGACCGACTCCAAACAACATTCAATGTTATAGGCGTTGAGGCCTTGGAACAGTTACCCGAAAGTCAAATTGGGATCTGGAATCAACAATCCTCTGAAACCCCTCTCCACCACCGCAATTCAAGCTGAGAACCGGCCATCTTGAACCCAATGCTACGGAGGGGAATCTTTGCGGGGAACCTTCTGTCACCGAACAGCGTGGAAGTATTTACCATGGGTTGAGCCGCGATGCAGCTAGTATATAAACCCCCTCAAACACTCAACGAGTTGAACAGACGATCATCTCAATCAAAGAGCATCATCTACTCTATAACTCAATATCTATTGCCTTTGACACATACTCTTGCATCTCACTAGAAAGCTTGAACAAGTTACCAAACCTAATAATTCAATATGCGTGGAAAGGTTGCTCTCGAAGAAGCCTTTGAGGTGAAGGGCATGGATGAGGAGATCGATGCCCAGGCAGCCCTCTACATCGCCCCTAAAGATGTTGAACGCTACAAGCGCCAGATCGTGTCCATCACAGACGAACGCTTGCAGCTGTCCGACCAGAACGGCATCGGATACAGCATCCTCTCCCTGACTGTTCCGGGTATCCAGGGCATCACCGACAAGGACAAGGCCGAGAAACGGGCCCGCGATGTAAACAACTACATTCATGACCAGATCAAGGACCACCGTGATAGATTGGGGGCATTTGCAGCTCTGTCAATGCATGATCCCAGACAGGCGGGACATGAGCTTCGTCGCTGCGTGAAGGAGCTTGGCTTCCACGGAGCCTTGTTGAACGATATCCAACATACCGGGGAGGGAGACGATGACCAGCCTCTGTTCTACGATCAGCCCGACTACGACGAATTCTGGAGAGTGGCTGTGGAGCTGGATGTCCCGGTCTACCTTCATCCTGCCGCACCCTTGCGGGATACCCAACTCTACAAGCAGACCTATGAGGACCGTAAATATCTCATCGGACCACCTCAAAGCTACTGCAACGGAGTAGCACTGCACCTGATGGGAATCATCGTCAATGGCGTGTTCGATAGATTCCCCAATCTGAAGATCATCCTTGGACACATGGGCGAGCGCATCCCATTTGACTTCTGGCGGATGGACCACTGGGTTAAGGGCGTGACACGGCCGCTGGCAGAGAAGAACGGAGATACTGTTTGCCAGAAGGAACCCCTCTACTACTTCAAGCGCAACATCTACATCACCACCAGTGGACATTTCAGCACCCAGAACCTGCGCTACCTCTACGAGTGGCTCGGCGATGAGCGAATGATGTTCAGCGTTGACTTTCCTTACGAGCGAATGGAGCATGGCTGCCAGTGGTACGATGATGATGAGGAGAAGATCAAGGAGGCACTGGGTGGCCGAGATGGATACCTTCGTGTTGGCAGGGACAACGCAAGAAGGTTGTTCAAGCTCAGCAAGTTCAAGGATTGTGATGTTGTTTAGGGAATATGACTGGGAAAGGATCAATATTGAAAGGCGTTTATTTGCTGAATGGGGGTGTTACTTTGACCTGAAACTGATGGGAAACACAAAAATGGGTATCGTAATGCATGCTTTCTTACTAACCGAGATTGTTACACAATTTGTTATGATAACTCTCAATGAGGTGAATCTACTTGCTTTTGCTTTTGTATAGGGTGATTTTTTGACACGTAAGAGCTGGTTGGATACTGCTTCGTAGACTACTCTTGGTTATTCCGTCGGGTCAAACATCGCAGATGTTCTAGGGCAAGAGTATTCATCACAACACTTTTAAGGAATGTGAAAGAATGACAAAGTAATATGACATAGTTAACTAGCATTGTAGCTGAGACCCCACCAAATCACGGACAATACACAGGAGTAATAACCTTCTTCTGCGCCCTCTCAACAGTCGAACGCAAATGTGAGATCTTCGGAGGAGACACCGGACTCGGAGCGACAACATAGCTCTTCTCACTCAACGCCTTTGGAAGAAACTCCTTGAAGATGTTACGACATATCACAGTGTCCTTGAACGAGATTGCATCTGGCGGGCGGGAGTCAGATGCGGGTGCTACTAAATCACTGTTTCCCACAACAGCTTTGCAGATAGCTGTGCTAATGTCTGTATCTTCGGTGTCGATTGCACCCAGGAGTCTTGTGTGCTCCATCTTCTTCAAGATCTCCAAGAGATCCTCCTTAGCTCTTGGGCTGTACTTATCAACCACTTCGCTGGCTCCGAGGCGTCGTACGTAGTCGAATTCCTTGCCCGGTGCTGTGGCTATCACGGTACAGCCTGCTGCGGCTGCTAGCTGGATGGCGTTGCACCCGGGGCTGGTGGTGCCTCCCCATACTATGACTGTCCCGGTACCTTTTCTGCGTCTGCTTTTGCTTCCTGCGGAAAGGGAGGTGATGGGGACTTTTAGCCTTTGAAATAATGCTACTGCTGCAGTGACTATTCCCAGTGGTAGGGCGGCGGCATCATAGAATGAGAGGCTTGGGGGGATAACTGCTACTAGGCTGGCGGGAACAACTGTGTAGTTTCGGAATCCCTTGTGTCGGTCCTCCTTAGTAAATGGATAGACAGCCAGCGCGAGAACACGGTCACCCTCTTGTAGCCCCTGTGTATGCTCTTCACCGCCGAGTTTGCGCACGGTGCCCGCGAGATCGTAGATCGTTAGGTTCTGGGGTGTGTACTCGGAATCGGACTCATCCTCGGTGTCGCTGGAGTCATCATCAGTTGAATTAGTCTCCCTCGATCCATACTGGTGTAGTGATACTGTTGCATTCTCGATGATGACTTCATCATCCTCCCGAGGTAGTTCCAATTCTTCTACTCTATAGAAGGCTTGTCCTTTCGATGGTTTCTCTGGCCCATAGAATTCATCGTAGTAGGGAATTGTACGCTTCACTCGGCCCTGAGAAGCTGCGTCATCTCCGTATCGACAGAGAAGCTCACTGAGATGATACATAGCCTGTATAACTGGTATACCGACCCTATCGCTGCTCTCTTTGCGTACTCTTGCCTCACACAAGCGTGCCATTAGGCTGACGAGTTCTCGGGTCTCGGGGTACGTGGGACCACATATCCTTTCTATACCTGAGATAGGTTTGCGAAATAGCTTGGCAGCAGTATCGCGTAGCTGTTGACTGTCCCTTTCCAGAATTAGCTTATCGTTTTGCAGCTTATCATTTTGCAGCACTGCCAAGCATAAGTCTGCAACATGGACGTCAAGATGATTGTCGAGTCTGATACCTTCCAGTTGCATTCGCGCCGCTTTAAGGTGTCTCTCTGCTGATTGGGTATTGTCTGACATCAAATAAAATATCCCCAGATCACGTTCTGTGCATGCATGGAGATAAACACTGGATGTCTCAGCGTTATTTGGGGGTGGCGATCCTATCAGTTGTGCCAGGGAATGGATCGCTTTCCCCAACTCTCCTTGTCTCTCATACAAGCGGCCTCCAGCAAGGCGGACTTCACGAACTAACCAATGACCCGAGGGTAAGTTGTTTGCACATATTTGCGCAAACGCTTCTAGCTTCTGTGGCGTTGCTCTTTTCCCTTGTAAGATATGAATCCGCATTAGATCATATCTCGCCCGTAAAAGTAATAGGTGTTGACGGCCATCAAGCATCTTCTTCATAGCGCGGATAACTTCCTTAAGAACCTCCTCCGCTTCAGCGATCTCCCCTTGAGCATACAGTACCGCAGCGAGGTTCTGCGCTGTTATAAGGGTTGCAGCATGCTCCTTTCCTAACTCTCTCTCAAAGTCCCTCAAGACTTTGCTGTATAAAGTCTTTAGCCGTTGGTCCTCGGCGTCTTTGTGAGAACATAAATCACCTAAGCGGGTGAGTGCATCGTGCGAGAACACGTAAACATCATTGGGAACATTTAGAGATGAATCGATTATTTTCAGGGCGCCCAGGTAGCAAGAAGTTGCCTCATTCATCATTCCTATTTCGGAATGCAGGAAGCTGAGCTCTCCAAGGGCCTGCAACCGGAGGCGTCGCTTTCCCATATCATCGTCTGCTTCAGTTAGATATGATATGCACCCCGAGTAGGCACATTGTCCTTCATTCAGTAACCCCGTCTTCCAACAGGTTCTACCCAACTCGCACATAGCTTCAACAGTAGCAGGATCAATGGCCTGAGCAATACCACCCGAGGGCAACTGCTCGTACGCCAGTGCGCACGTCTGCCTAGCATCGTCTGGGCGATTATTGGCAAAGTAAACAGAAGCGAGGAGGCTGAGTTCCCTGAATTCTAGTTTATGCTTGATCTCATTTGTGATGTCCACACCTTGAGTCAGGAACAGTTGCAGTATCTGTGGCGCCTTAGGGGTCTTGAAGGCTTCCAGGACTAGTTCCTCTCCCAGTGCTTCGTCGGCCGGTGAGGCATCATGTACACTTCCTTCATACTCCTGCTGCGGGCAAGCGTCGACCCGTCTTCCAGGTCGAGTAAATTGTGAATGGTCACTTTCGTCTTGTTCTTGACCAGGACAACCCTCGTTGACGACCTGCTCGACTAGGCTCTTTTTTTGCTTCTTAAAACTCTCTCGCAACCCTTCCTGAGTTGCCTTGTCAATCCACGGCTCTATGGCGTCACGGGCACAGCAGACATGTTTGTCCTTATCAGCACCAATCCGCACGGTGGCATCACACGAGGACACCAGATCCTCCTGCCTTCGAATGCCGTCATAATCTCCATACTCATCATTTTCCTCGGCGATCCGTGCCGCTCCCACATAGCGGCAATCCAAGTAGCGTTCGCGGTGTTCTGTATCTGTTGGCACAGTCATGACTAGAACTGCGGGCCCTCGATCCCCCTTCCTCTCTCGGAGAATCAGGCAACTTGTCCACTGTAGGAGGGCACTGTAAAAAGGCACAGCTACCGAAACATGATCTCCATGTGGCTCAATGAGATTGTTCTGGACCTGGTGCTCAGTCACAGTCTGACAATGCCAGCGACCAACGACCGCACCGCCATCCTGAATCTTCAACATGCGCTTGCGACGAAGCTCGGGGCTATCACTGTCAATTCGTGCTGTTATTGGCATCTCGTCCAGTGTAGCGGGAGACCAGGAGAATGGGCCTTTCTCACACATGGTCGGCCGACCATGTAGGAGACTCTCGTGAGGAACGAAGCCCAGGTAGAACAGAATAGATTTGGTGATCTCGCTTTCAGATTGCGAATAATTGCACTGAGGCATACCCGTCAGTAGCCCCGCGATGATAGTGCGATCCCGCACGCGTGATGTCTGTCGTGGGCCTAACACAGCCATTATGTCGTCAACGAATTCAACTGCTTGACTGCGCAGCCGACGGATGACCTTGGAGGCTAGCCAATGTGCACGAGAAACGACATTGGGGCTTGAGGCCAATATGTCAGTTTCAAGGTCCATGATGGCTGGCGTTTGCTCATTTTCGCCCTTGAAAAGAACTTTGACCTGAGTCGCCATGCGCAGCTCCAGCGCTGTCCATCCGCGCGTGAACCACGGCGACAGCACGATGGCTAGACATGCTGTTTCGGCATCATAAGCTTTGATATTGAGTAGGTAGCTGTCGTGGATGACAGTGTACTCGGCATCCGCGTAATTTTTGTGCATCTGATTGATGGCTTTGCTGCGGGTCCGCGGTTCAAGTGGCAAGGACAGCGCGTCCCACCATATCCCTTTGCATTTCAACCTCTCTGCAATGCGCGCGAAATATTGAAACAAACAACTGTTGACCAGACCTTGGTCCGACATCCCAACACCTGTCCCATCTGACCATACATGGGAGATGGCGATGTACGGGGCATCCGCCGCGCTCAGTTCCTCCTTGTCCCGCGACCACGCGGTTCCTTCTCCCAACTCTACTCTAGCTATCAATTCCTGTACAGGGTATTTCGCTTGCTTGCAATCATTTCCAGACATGCTGCATTTATGCATCTGGTGCACACGCGTACTATCCATGTGCGCGGTTTGACACCTGTTCGGGGCACAGCCGAAATGTTCTTCTTGATGCTTCAAGGCTTCTCGCCGACCTACATGTTCAAGGCTATGGATGAGGTCTGGTAAATCGTTCTGTTTTCGTTCGGCGACATTCACCAGGTTCCAGAAGCGACAGCTGCACAAGCTCAGGTTGGAAATGCGCCGCGCGGCTTCGTGAATAGCCGGTACAGTGACGCTCCGAGGAATATAGTAGCCATCCCAACGGCCCATGGCCGCTGGCTCCAGATTATGGCAAGCAAGGATGCTTAGCATCCAATAAATCAAGTTGCAGACGGACTGCACGTCAATGACAGGTCCCATGAACCCGTCGCCCGTGGACTGCATCATTCGCTTCCCACCATTTGCTCTGGACGCATCGAGAATGGTGTAGCAAGCGTGAACTGCGCTGATAATATGTGTGTGTACGCGAGCTGATCGCTCCATACTCAAAAAATCTACCTGTCCGTCTTTTGAGCCGCTTTTGCTGTTGCAGTCTCGCGCCAATCCTTCCCGGCAGGACATGGCAGTAAGGGCCCAGTCTCGGAAAGGGCGCCATTCACACGAGGGCGCACTACGGTACATCATCCGTCGCGTATCGAGGCATGCTTCGTGGTCGCATTTGCACAGCTTTGCTGCGATACAAACATGACCTAGCTGAGTCAAGAAGCCGACGGTTCGGAAGGTGGAAGGTATATTTGCGGCTGGGTTGGTGAGCCAAAGATCGGGGCGATTGTTGGCGTTGGAACAACAATTGTCGGTATTATTCTGGGGAAGAAGCAGAGGAGTGTGGCCATGCAAGGGCTCATGAATGTCGAGCAACAATTGGCAATTTGAGTGCACCTTGTCTTGGGAAATTAGGTGGTGGTAGCATAAAAAATTGAGAACTGAGTTCATAGCTGCCATGTCTGCGCAACTTTTCGCTGCTTCCAAGAAGTTCTGAGGTGGTTTCTGGTCCAATTCGTCTCATATGATAGCTGGAGTCCCAAAATCGGTCTTCACCGCTGATACTATGGTTGTACGGTATCGGCGACCAGCGGGGACCATCGTAAGAAGGCTGACCAGCTGAATTAGATAGTAGCATATCCGACAAAGCTTATCATTAGTGACAGATGCAAGTGATTTCGTTGCCCGGCATTTTACGGAGTAGGGAGCACGTCATCCATCCTGTGGTTGCTTTTGCCAAGGTAGTAGCTGAGACGGCTGAAATGGCCCGGTGGAAGCCCCCAAGTGGTCGTCAAAACATATTCCAGCGCGCAGCTGCAAGCATCCATGCAAGATGGTGGATTGAACATTCAGCTGAGATGACAGATGACATTCTCCAGTGAGAGTGTGATGGGTCGACGGGGATGAGAGATTTTGAGAGGGTCGTGGTGGGTAGATCCATGGAGGAGTAAAGGTACTTACATGCGACAATATGATATGTCAGACGGGGGAGCATCCGATGCATAGAATCGTAGCTGTCAGGCTGTAGTTCAGTTGCCTACTGTACAGTAATGCACTTCCTGCATACACAGTAGTCAATGTCGGTCATCCATCTGTTTGTGGCAAAGCTGAAGCCAGCAGCATCGGAGATGCGTCAAAGTGCAGCTGAACTCAAGGATCGGCGGTGTGTCTGATATAGCTTCTATTTGTATGTTCCTAGTGGACAGGACTATGAAAGCAGAGTATATATTTAGCATAAGGGGATCCCCGGTGTAGTCCACGCTTCATATTCCTGTCTTTGGGAAAGGGAGCAACAATGGTTGTTAAACCAGGCGATGGGGATTCTCCCCCACCAATCAAGCGTTCCTTTGGGCAGGATTTCTTCTCAAAAATCGGGAATAAGATCAAAGACCTTTTCATGAAGAGAATGCCAGGGTTTATGGATGTAATCTCCGATTATTTGGTGAAAAGACTCTTTAGATTTGCCGAGAAGCTTACGCAGCGCTCTGTCCCTTCCTCGAAACCGCAAGAGGTATGTTCATTGATCCATTTCTCGTCTCCGGCCCAGCTAAACTGCATAGATCATTGAGAATCCTCAAACCGAGGACGACTTCAAGAAAAACGTGGATTTCTTGGTCAGACAGAGCAATCTTGGTGATCATACCAGTCAACTCAACGAGTCGTATCTCCGTGAAGTAGCGAAGAAAGCCGCTCAACTCAAGAATGACCCGAAAAACCATCTAAACAACCCGGATCAGATCACCACGCTCACCCAGCTAGCCCTCTATCACCCGGTTCTCTATTGTGGTATGGCTGATTTGAACACCCCCAGACTTCTGCTCTTTCACACTCGGCTGAGCTTTGAGAACAGATGATAGTCTTTCAATGAGCACGACTATAAAAGGCTCTGACAAAAAGAGGCTAGAGGCACTGCAGGAGTTGGTCAAGCGAATCATCAGCGTGGCGACCAGAGCGGTGCCAGACAACCCCAAAGAGCCCGGCGAAAAGCTTGAAGGTGCCTCCTTGCGATTCATAAACTCGGACGCTGAACACACCATTCGCAAGCTGGAAGATCTAAGTCAAGTGAACTACAAGGCTGACGATTATACTCCCTTGGGCACTCAACTTGACAAGAGGATCCTGAAACCATTCATATATGACTTTCTCGATACCGGAAAGGTGCTGCCACGACCACTGCTCATTTTCACAATCACCGATGGTGAGCCATCAACAGAAGCTCACGATACATTCCGGGAAAAGATTGTTGAATGTATGCAGTTTCTTACTAAACACGAATACCCCAGGGAGCGTAAGTATTAGCCACTCACATTGTTACCCTCTTAGCCTCAGTACTTATGGCATTGCTGTAGTTGTGAACTTCAATATTAGTCAGGTTGGCAATGATAGCAACGCAGGGAAGTTTCTGGAGAGCCTGAAGAATGACAATGAAATCCAGGATATTCTTCATTGTACTGCAGGTGAGAGGGCTACTTACTTTTTTCTTCTCACTTTCAGTCTAATAGCAAATCGCAGAACACTTGGACGAACGATTCGAAGAATTGAGGGCAAACGAGAGGGATCTGGAGAGATGGGTATGTGCCTTGCCTACTATTCAAACTAGACTAACTGAAAGCAGGTGCTCGAAATGCTATCGAGACAGATTCGAATCAAGAAACCAGAATCCACATAGATACGCCCTTACCCCTTCAAGGGCGATCCCAGGGTATGCCAAACAGGTGGAAGAAGATCTATAGTTATCACCTTGGAGTGAGAGATCTGCGAAAGAATGCATCAACAGTGATCATTTACGGTTTCACTTGTATTATCAGATATGACCGAAGGGCCAAATAGTCTGGTACTATGACTGGTCATGTCTTCCAGGACGATCCCTTCTTCTACTGTATTCAGGCTGCAGATGTCGATGCAGATGTCGATGCAGCTGAAGGCGAGGCTGGCCACTGGGTCCTATGCTTTGTATCCAATGGCTGTCCAACACAAATCCAGTGCTAGTCGCGTAGTCGTTTCATCTCTTCGTGCTTTGCAGTTGCTTTATTCTGTAGTATAATGTAGGATTTAGTCTATATAATGGAGAGATGTCACCCAATTACTCTCCCACAATCAGCCCTAACCCATCCACAACACTACCCCATCCTTCCACCATGTCAGAACGAGTCTCAACTGCCCTAGCCAAAATAATACAAAACAACCCATGGATGAGCCAAGTAGCAGGTATCCTGCCCTTATCAGCTCTAATCGATTTCATCGACATTCCCGTCAAGATCCATACTCTACAAGTAACCGGCAGCTGCCCACTCTGGTCCTGGGCCATCACCCCGTCAGGCAGTCGACTACTCCTCTCCAGCGACAGCAATCCCAACAACAAGACCCCCATTCTGGATCAATACGGCAACAGCATCAGTCTTACCGGGATCGACGGCCGATTCGGCGACCTCTACCTGCTCCCAAATCCAGAAACAGTCCGGACATGCATCAGCTCGCAATCCGCGCACCCTATCCCCAACAAGCACGCGAACATGGAGAAACCAAGGCACGAGCTTCGAATCCAACATCTCGAAATTATCCACGTCCAACGCTTCTCTCCCAACTCCACCACCCAACAACCATGGCCATGGTCATCCCTTACCCGCTTCTCCCCCCGCTACATCACCACCAGCCTCCTCGGCTACCTCAGCCTCATATGCCTCATAACCCTCGCCATCTTCTCCAAATGCTACCTCGCCGTGGCCTTCCTCCTCCTGATGCCCCTATCCGGCGCCATCGTGACCCTCACCCACGGCGACGGTCCCCGTCGCCTCCTAAACAGCGACGCCATGACCTCGCCATACAACCGACTCGTCATCGTCGCCCAAAACACCAACTCAAGCCACTGGACAATCTTCTACGGCGAAAGCACCCTAGTCAACTGCCTCGTGAACCGCCCTCTCGAACCCGATGAAACCCACACACTCCTTTCATCTTTCTCACCCCTCTCAACCCAACTACTGAAAATGCTCCTCCGACTCCTAATCCTAGCGCAATGGGCCCTCGCCATCGCGACAGCAACAACCCAGGACTGGAACGCCTTCTACATCTGCTTCTGGATAGTATTTTCCATCTTCGCGCACGCGTACCTTATCCCCCTTCGCACGGAGATTCGTCGCTGGCTAATGACTTCCGCGAGGATACGGTTGTGTAGGTATACTACGCAACTGAGTTCGAGGCGTGCGTTGCTGAATACGGTCATTGCGTTGAATCCGGATACATTCCCTGCTGGGAGAAGCGTGTCTGAGAAGGAGGGGGGGAGTGAGTCGGAGGAATCTACTTCTACTGCTACTACGTATGTTGAGAATGACACGAGCAGGCTATGCCCCGGAGCGATGAAGGCTCTTAACCCAATTCTGGAGCCGAGTGATCAGCGCTCTCTGTGGGAGGAAGCCACTCGTCAGGCAATGATGCTGTGTGAGGATGTGCCGGTGGAGGAGCGGATTAAGGGTCTGAGTAGTTCCGAGGGTGAAAATATGCTCGGTAAGGAGTGGAATGAGCAATATGGGGAGTTTTATTGGATGCCGTATATAATTGAAGGGATTTATATGGCGGCGAAGATTAAGAGCCAGGCTGGGTTGTCGGGGAGGATGGTGGGAGGGAGTGGTGTTTAGTAGAACTACTAGTAGTGTGACCATGAAATGATGAATTATGAGTTGAATGCAGGAAAAAAAAATAGAATTTTGCTCATGAACGTCAGATCAATGTGATGATATCTAATGCCTCTTGCACTCAGAAGGACCGTTAATCTTATCAATGGAGAGCTTACTTTGTATATAGCTTCACACGTCTCGTTCTTCACTCGAAGTCACTTGTACTGAGCATCGTTTGTCATCATCGGGGACTCAATCCCCAAATAGTACAAGTGCTAGTTAGCGGGCGAAGTGAGAGGGGTCAGCATTGCTACCAACACCATCCGAGACTCTACTACTCTTTGGTGACGGTGCAGATATAGGATCAGTCGATGGGGGTGGGAACACACACTACGAACGAAACGATCAACTACGCGAGGTGCATCCCCCGGAGAGAAACCCGAGGTTTCGGAGATTGGCGAGCAGTCCAAGCGCTGGAAGTCAAGTCCCGGTTACGGAGATTGAGTTCCCGTTGGGCGGTCTGAACCAATCAGAAGGGCTATGTGGTCGCGTTGTGGGTAATGAATCATGTTTAGGTACTCGGTTGGAGAGGATCGGCGATGTACGAAGAGGTAGAGTAAGGTATTTCTCCGAGGTGGCGTTGCATGGGGGTTCGGGCTCGGATCATAGAGCAGGTCACTGCCTGTCTACTGGATACTACTAGTAGTCTTACTCATCTGGTAAATGTTCATGTGTATATGGTTATTCATTGTATTGTATGAGACTACTTTCTGTCTCTATCTGTCCTGATCGGAGGCGGCATCAGTCTTTTGCAAAAGACTGTATCATGTATCATAATCCTCATATAGACGTGATAAGCGTAATGATAAGATGAAGGAAACATCACAGCGAAGGCTTCGCAGCGACATATTTGCCCTTCGTTCCATCGAGTTGCGCCTCCAAGACCGCCGTGGTACCATTCTGCACACTCTTGATAGCCTCGGGTAGCAGCTTCCTCAGCTGAGCAACATTAGCAGCCTGGGCACCCCAGAAGGTACCACCGGATGCAGCTGTCGCGATACCCGGATAGTCTGGAGTCGGAGCGAAAGAGATGTTGAGGTCTTCGTTCGTAGCACGGGATCCATCGCCGTTGGGATGGACGAGGAGCATACTGCGTCGAGGGGCATTCCAGCCCTTGTTGTTGAGCACAATGGTAAGGATGGGAATGTTGTAGCGACGAGCAACCCAGTAAACAGACCCTGGGACAGAGAAGAGATAGGTGCCGTCGCCGACGATCTGGCAGACAAACTTGCCCTTATTTGTCCCGCCGTGTTTGGCGTCGGTGGCGAGTTTGATGCCCAGGGCACCACCGCCGGACCACCCGAGTCCACCACCACCGCAGTTGATCCAGGATTTCGGTAGGGTAGGGGCGATCTGGTCGGCCACGTGGGTAGTGAGAGTTACGGATTCGATGGCCCAGATGGTATCCGATGGGCAGGACTGGCGTAGTTGGCTGATGAGATAGTTGGCATTGAGGGGAGCGACATCGCCGCCGGGAGGTAAGCGGGCGAGGTTGTAGATAGCTTGGCGGGTCTTCTGGAAAACCTCTGCGCGGCGCTTGCCACGAGCATGGTTTTCATCCGACTGGACTGTCTGCTGAATGGAGGGGTTGGAGGCAACATATTCGTTGAGCTGCTTGAAAGCAGTTGCCGATTCGGCGCGGAAGGTCGCTATCGTGGGAATATAGGCAACAGGGATCTGCTGCTTGAGGGGGTCGACATCGACATGAATGATGCGTGCCGAGTCGGAGGGCTTGCAGAGCGTCGGGATCCAAGGTACGTCACAGTCGGCAACAAGGATGAAGTCAGCAGACTTGATGGCATCATGAACACCAAAGCGCATGCCTAGCCATGCAGGATGGTCGCCAGGGAAGCACATGTCACAGCCGCCAGTGTCGAGGACGCGGATGCCCTGGAAGGTGTTGGCGAGAGTGACCAACTCATGGACACCTCGCGCCTCCCGACCAGAGTAACCGACAATGACCAGGGGGTTCTTCGCAGCTGCGAGCTCTGATGCAATCAATTCGACACCTTCGGTTGGGAGAGCAGATGGGGAGACAGGCGCCCAGTGACTCTGATTGAGAGAGTAAGGGGTGATATCCTCCTCCATGACCTCTCGTGCACCGGCCAGATAGACAGGTCCCTTGGGATCACTCGTAGCGAATTGAAGAGCGCGGTTGACCATCTGCTTGATGTTCTTACCAGATCGGATTTCCGCGGCATATCGGCAGTATTGTGAGACGATCTGCTTCTGGTCCGGAACATCTTGGATCCAGTGGATATATTCTGTGCGCGAGCCACGCATTTCTCCTTCAATAGTATACGGGGAGAGACCGGCGAAGATCAAGACGGGGGCTCGGCCACACGATGCGTTGTGAATAGCAGCAGCGAGCCCCTGGGTACCAACATCGACATGAACAATCACACATTGAGGTTCCCCGGTCAAGCGGGCATAGCCGTCGGCCATAGACAGGGCCACCATCTGCCAAGGAGGCATGCGGGGTTAGTGTCGGGTCGAGATCCACAACGAGGTTGCATTGATCGACTCACCTCGTTGGGACAGGTTATGATCTTGGGGAAGGCATCGGGCTTTTCTTTCTGGCCCTTGACCATAGCCTCGAGGATAGAGGGGTGGTCAGATCCAAGGTTGACAAAGACATGGGAGACCCCAGCCTGGAAGGTTAGCTTGACCGACGTTCTGTTGTGGAAGGGGACAGTACCTCCCAGAGTGCCTCGAAGAAGGCAAAGGATGCTGTGTAGACCCTGGAGACTGTCAGTGAATATGGAACAAGCAAGAAAGGCCAATTGAGAAATTGTAGTGACTAACATGGTCGCAATCAATCAACAACGGTAATCTATAGGTGCGCAATTGAGATAGACTGGAGTTGACCGAGAGCAATACGGAGTAAAGGAAGGGGGATACAAGAAGTCGGGGATAGATTGATAAAGCCGGCTTAATAAAGGACAGGCTCGGGGGCAAGTCCGAACTGATGAGGAGAAACTGCAGTTTAACACCGAGGTTAACGGCTTTCACTGAGTAATCACCCAAATAGGGTAAGTAGTTCGTCAATAAGGTTGGCACGATGAGGTGGAACCCATAGTTGAGCTGCAAGGTGCAATCATGGTGCGGAATTGGTTATTCAGTGTGGAGGTGCTCATCTTTCCACTATGTGCCGGAAGCCGATCAGCAGCAACAACAATAATGGGATCAAAAATGCCCAGTATCACGAGTATTCGGTCAGCCCTATTCTGCCCAGTTCTGTCCGACAGGAGCTTGTTTCAGAGCCAAGCTGGTAGTTGGTGGATCCATCCACCGATTAATCTTACTAGAACAGTTCCACTGCTCATCGGCCAGTTTCTCAACTGATTATCACTGGTTATCGTCAGCCCGCATGACGTCGTGGCCGCGTCCCTCGCCAGTTGCTTGCGGTTTTCAAGGGATGCGCTCACCACATCATTTGCAGTAATGGCCCCAATTATTTATTATAATATCCCCTGGCCATCCAGAAGCTGAATGCTGACCGGAAGATAGCCCCCCAATACGTCATTTCGTAGACAGGCAGCCATCCTTTCATATTAATATTAATATTAATAGTCATGGTCGCGCCAGTGGCCTGGGGTCCCGCCAGCGAATCCACCTGGATACCCCTTTTTAAACTCGTCAGCGCCGTGTATTCTCTTAGTTTGGCTTCGTTGATTTTCTGGTTTCTTCGTCAGCCCAAAAGTGCCAATCAAGTGCGAACCACCATGCTCTCCGACACTGTGTATGAGCTCTGTCATGACGAGAAAACCGTCACCTCAGAGCTTTTGCAGGATCCATCGCAATCGCCCACTAAGCTTTTCCAGAAGTTGTATCATGATCGGAAGTCAAAGTCGCACAAATCTGATTCGAACGAGTCAGTCGACAAGGACGATCATGAACTGCGAAAAGTTCTGCAGTGTGGAAACTGGGGCAGCACTCAACCCAGCGACCTTTTCTTGAAGGTAATCGATCAGCCAATACCATCTATTCCTCCTTGACAAGACTTACCTGACAGAAAATAGATCTACCACGATGCACTTTGCGCATTAGAAAAGAATCCCATGTCCGGGGTAGTCTCCCCGCCACTGATGGGCAGCCACGGCGTAGTCCCTCTGACTATTATCGCCCCATTGCCTGATCTCTGTCGCCACATGGCCAATTGCATTGTGCGAGCTGAGAAGGAAGTGTTTCTGGCGACGAATTTCTGGATTCACTCGGATGCTTCCACACTGGTTACCAATGCGTTCCGAGAGCTATCCCGACGAGCCGGCGAACGTGGAACAAAAGTAATTGTGAAGATGGTCTATGATCGCGGAGATCCGCAGCAGCTGTTTGAGAACCACCTCCCAGTGCCAGAGAAGAAGTATACCAGCGAAAAGGTGCAGCTTCCTGCGGCTCACGAGATCCCCAACATCGATCTGCAGGTCGTCAATTACCACCGACCTATCTTCGGGACCTTTCACGCCAAGTTCATGGTAATCGATCGGCGAATTGGACTGCTGCAGAGCAGTAATGTGCAGGATAACGACAACCTGGAGATGATGATCCATGTCGAGGGACCCATTGTGGATGGGTTGTATGATACGGCGTTGATTTCGTGGGGTCGTCCTCTCGAACCCCCACTGCCCATGCTGGACTCGCCCGCCACGGGGGCTCCCATTCCTTGTCACGCCTCGCAGCAGCCAGACTATGATGCTCCAGACCCGGGGCCTCTCCCAGAACTTACTGTCGATGAACATCACTATGACCCGGATATTCGGGCTGAAGCCCAGCGCATGAACGGTTTGCTGTTACCACGGGAGGGAGAGACCAGAACGCAGGCTGTGACTCGTCGCTTAAGTATGCATGCACCGCAACCACTAGCGTTACAGATCCATGCAGGACCAGAAACTAATCTCTAATCAATAGATACCACGATCCAAACTGACATGTCTGCCGACGCCCCCGAAAGCGACCAAGAACTCATCATGCAGCCCTACGTCGTCCTCCCCCCACACGATCCCTTCCCCATGGCCGTCATCAACCGGGAACCCTGGGGCGCCCCCAACCACAGCAGCATCCACACGCCACAGAACAGCAGCTTTCTCGCAGCAATCAACAACGCGCAAGAATCCATCTTCATTCAAACGCCCAACATGAACGCCGAGCCCATCGTCCAGGCTCTGATTGAGGCCGTCAAGACCCGCGACGTCACTGTCACATGCTACTTATGTCTGGGGTACAACGACGCCGGCGAATTACTGCCGTTCCAGAACGGGACGAACGAGATGGTTGCGCACCGAATGTACAAGGCGCTGGATACGGACGAGCAGCGATTCCGCCTGCGGATCTTTAATTATGTGGCAAAGGATCAAGTCCGGCCGATTCATAATAAGTATAAGCGGAGGAGCTGTCATATTAAGCTGATGATTGTTGATGAGAAGGTGGCTATTCAAGGTATCTCCCACTCTACAACACCATACAATATCCTAGAGTGATGAAAATACTGACAAATACGCAGGTAATGGAAACCTCGACACCCAATCCTTCTACCACAGCCAGGAGGTTAATCTCCTGCTGGACTCCCCATTGGTCTGCCGCGCCTGGCGTGAAGCCATCGACCGGAACCAGAACACGGCGTACTACGGCGGCGTCAGCCCAGAAGACGGCTGCTGGCATGATCCAACAACCAATGATCTCCCTGTGGGATCGATTGGCGTTGACCCGGGACACTTTAGCTGGGCACGGGGAGCAGTAGGAGCGGTGCAGAGGGTCAGAGGAGCGGGTGGTTTCTAGTTGAGTAGTATACTTTTTTGGCCTTTTGGATGATTTTGATTTGACCATTATCTACTAGCGATATGTTGGACATGTACGACTTTAGCATAGTGTTAGCCTGTTTGGATAGTAGTCATACAGTTGGATAAATACTATACCTTCCCCAGCACACTACACCATCCCCATCCCTCAGTAACTAATCCAACATTACCCACCACCCAAAATGAATGCACCTAAGCAACCGCAAGAACCAATATACGACCTCCCCCTCCGCGACATAACAACCTACACCCACTCTCCCACCACCACCACCCATCCCATCGCAGCCCGAACCGCCCTCCTCGACGCCCTCTCCTGCGCCATCGAAACCGCCTCGAAATCCCCCTCCGCACGAGCCCTCCTCGGCCCCATCATCCCCGGCACCATCGTGCCTCACGGATTCCCCGTCCCGGGTACCTCTCACACCGTAGACCCAGTGAAGGGTACCTTCGACCTAGGCGTCCTAATCCGATACCTGGACCACAACGATGCGAGCTGGGGAATGGAATGGGGACATCCATCGGGTAGATACTTCCCTTACCTCCTGTTCCTTAACATCAATTCCTTAACACTGAAAAACTTAATGAACAGATAACATCGCCGCCATCCTCGCGACAGCCGACTACCTAAGCCGCCACCCCAAATACTTCAATGAACGGAATCCAACAATCTCCACCCTGCTCTCTGCAATAACCAAATCCTACGAGATCCAAACACACTATCAAGCGCTCAACGCCTTCCACGCACACAACCTCGACCATGTCATTCTTGTCGAGTTGGCCTCAGCGGCCGTCTGCTCGTGGATGATGGGCCATTCTGCCACACAGACGCAGAGTATTCTATCCCATGTGTGGATGGATGCGGGCCCGAGTCGTCTGTATCGTACCCATCCGTGCACTGTGCCTCGCAAGGGGTGGGCGGCTGCTGATGCAGCGGCGAGGGCGGTTGAGTTGGTGTTCAGGGCGGATACCACTAGGGATAATGGGAGCGGGGAGGCGATGAGGGGTGTGGGGAGTGTATTGAGTCATGAGGGGGGTGGGTTTCGGGATGGGAGGTTTGGGGGGAGGGAGTTTGAGTTTGTAGGAGGGCTTGGGGAGATGGAAGGGAGGGGTGTGGAAGGGGTGATGTATAAGATTATGCCGGTGGAGGGACATGGGTGTGCGGCTGTGGAGGCTGTGTTGGGGCAGATGGAGAGAGAGCCGGAGGTGGTGTGGGATGAGGTGGAGGAGGTGCTGGTGAGGGTGCCTTGGGCGGCGAAGTATATTATCTCTAGGCCGGGGAGGGAGGCGTTGAAGTGTGCGGCGGAGAGGGATCATTGTTTGGAGTGGGTTGTTGCGGTTGCGATGGTCAAGGGGAGGGGAATTGAGGTGGAGGATTATGAGGAGGAGGGGGGGTGGGTGGGGGATGAGAGGGTGGAGGAGTTGAGAGGGAGGGTGGTGGTTAGGGAGGATGAGGAGTTGACGAGGAATTATTTGGATGTTGGGAAGAGGAGTATTGCTGCTGGGGTGGTGGTCAGGTTAAAGGATGGGCGGGTGTTGGAGGAGGTGTTGGTGGAGTTTCCGGTTGGGCATGTGAGGAATCCGAGGACGGGGGAGGAGGTTAGGAGGAAGTTTGTGAGGAATATGCGGTTGATGTTTACGGAGGAGGAGATTCGGAGGATTATGGAGGTGGTGGAGAGGGATGATGCTAGGGTGTGTGAGTTGGTGGACCTGCTTGCGAGGTCAGAGACTGGCATGTCTATGAGTAAGATGTAGGAAGTGAGATATAGTAAGTAAGTGATATTAGATTGGTTCCGGCCCTCGTTAGATTAGTGGTATATCAATGTTGCGGTACACAAGATGGCATGGCCACTCCCTGGAGCGTCAAGTACACATCTGTTCCCCATCCCCACAAGCTCTGCACCGCAATGCTCCCTCCAAAATACTCTGCATATGCCCGGCTCAACGGCAGCCCATACCCCAGTCCGGCAATGCTGCTCAAGTGGCCCCCGCTGCCGGATATCGTGTTTAGCGCGTCCATGCTGCCATTTTCTGACCCATTCATACCATAGTCAGAGAAGGTAGTGAAGCTGTAGGACCAGATATTCGGCAGCACCTCCGGAGGGATACCTCCACCCCGATCACGAATACGGATCGTGATGCTCTGCTGCGATGGCGACCAACACTTGATTGACTCGTTCGCATCCGCCGTTCCAACCACCGTGTCCATGTGAAATCCAGTATCCGAATCGGAGTGACTCCACTTCTCCTTCGCCTTCGGGTCATGTACCGGGCTAGCAGGAACATCAGGTGCCGCAGCAATGGTCACCTCGATGGGCTCATTCCCATTCCCGGACTCAATAACCGCCCGGAACGCATTTTTCAGCAACTCCGTAAGGATGTACTCCACGTGGACCGGCACATGTGCGAAAGAAGCGTCCGGCTGTCCGCCGATGTTCAACCGCGGACGGACCCCATACTTCAGCTCGCAGATCTCGCCCACGAAGTCCTCGCACGACTTGACTATGCGGGCGGGTTGCAGCGCGGTATCAATGACTCCGATGTAGTTTGATGGCGCAGCATCCTTCGGTGTTTCTTGTTGTTCGGATGGATCGTCGCGGACCGGCTGCGAGGCAAAGTGCAGCGCCAAGTGTTGCTCTGCTATGAGCCGCGTGCCGATTCTGGCGCGCAGATGCGTGTCTAGGAACCGAGTTACCTCAGTGGGATCGATGTATCGGCGACATTCGAGGAAGCCGCGGGCAAGAATGGGAATGGTGTTCGTATGCGTATGCACGAGATCGGCAAGTACTTCAGCGAATTGATTCTCCTCCTCTAGCGTCGTGACCTGCCGTTGCTGATATGGCAGGAGAGTCGAGAGCGAGTGTAGGTAGTTGTTATAGATCTTGGAGACATGCGGATTCGATACGACGATGAAAGGGAGGTTGCGGAGAGCCTCGATACGAGACGCTAGGCGGGCCGGAAGAAGGGAGAGCGTGAAGTTGGCCGAGGCCAGGAGGGCATCTTTGCACAGGGGCGGACGCCCATGTCTAGCTAAATTAGCAATTATCCTAAGATTGATAAAAGAGCTAAGCGCATGCTGCATACTTGAGCAGATCTGCAAGAGTCAATGGGCGGCGACGACTGGCGGCGAGACGTGCAACTTCATCATTGGCGCCGTAGGCAAACGCGTGCCGCGGGGATGTAGTCGTCTGTACGAGGGGTGACGAAGAAAAGGACCTTGCTGGAAAGGTTGAGAAGCGATTATATCGAAGGCTAGCACCCCGAGACGCAGTCTGCAGGGCTCGTCTTACCGCCATCGTAGAAGTTGGCCATGGCGACTTGCAAGACACAACAGTCGATGACCTCACAAGCCGGACTCCGTGGGGGATCCGTCTCACGTGCTGCCGCAGAACTCGCCAGTTGACTCACCCATACAACCAATCTTCGCCAAGAATATGAAATGTAGCCATTAGTGATGCGACGTAGCTATTATCTGCATACACTCTCCAGCCACATTAACTGTACTCTGTTAATCCCTGTCTGCATAGACATCATCGATCCTGCACTGCACCCAAAGTGGTGTGCCCTGGTTGGTCCCTAGTCTGACCCCCTCGGTCCCCTTATCAGGGCGTGTGAGATCGACCCCCGCAGGTGCCTAACTCTTACTTTACTTCTTACTACTAGCCGCAGAGTATAAATAAACCCTCCCCTGTCCCACATCGGGCAACTCATCTTACATCTTTCATCAACATTTTCAGGTCAAAGATTTACAGAGGATTTTCTCACTCAAGAACTACTTCTCTTCGTCAAATCAAACATACCGCCAACATGCCTCACCAGTACATGGTTCGTTTGTTGTCCTGTCCCACTCCCGCCCCTGGGCCAAATGCTAACGATTTCAATTATTTACAGGTCAGCCTCAAGAAGGAGTCTCCCCCTGAGGAGCTTGAGAAGTGAGATATACCACAATTTACTGATAGAAAGCTTGGTTCTAACACTTGTGCGTAGGGCCAAGAAGACTGCCACCGACAACGGAGGCAAGATCGTGAAGGAATTTGCTCTGGTCAAGGGATTCGTGTATGAACCCTCCTCCCACTGTCAAGCTACTATCTTTTACGTGTCTCAACTAATTCTTGCTCACATAGTGTCCAATACGACGATGAGCAAGTCTCCACCCTCCAGTCCTCCGACCACATCCACGTCGAGAAAGACAGCGAAGTCTCGATCCAGTAAACAAAGGTTATATCAGAACGGAGCTGGTCCGGCCGTATGACTACTCTGCGGGAGCTTAGATTACTTCTTTGTTCTTATTTGTTATATTGAATGTATGAATTATGATATTATTTCTATAAAGATTTGTCGTACCCATCCAACAAGTAGACATAATCTGTAATATTGAGGGGCACGAAATTGAGTGCCTTGTATAAAGAGCTCTACATACTGTGTGTACACTGGTAATGTTACACAACTACCCCTCAAAGTCTTACTTCTCATTAACTATGGATTAATGCAACTGGCATTTCCGGATTCGTATTGAATTGCATTGTTCCATCCTGTGATTCCCTGCGGCAATGACGCACCAGATGACGTTATCCCGCGAGGGGCAGTCACGTGCTGTATACTATCAACAGCTTATGGATGACGTTGATGAAGATCTTCAAAAGATATCTGTGTGGATCACAATAGTGTAGATGGGTTATCGATAAATCATACGATATGCTGTTATCTTACTATAGACTATGTGGTCATATATCCTTCAAGAACCCCACTTCAATCACCTTCTCGGCTCCCAGTCCCAACGAAGCAATCTTCGCTCGGGTATTGTCCCGAATCCATAGAAAGATCTCCAGCACAAATCGCCTAAGAATGTTCGTACCCCTCTTGACTCTCATCTGCTCCTTGCCAGTGATATAGAGCACATTATGTGCACAGGCCTTCTCCAGCAGTGCTACCGGATCGACCGGCCTCCCTCGGCCAGTGATCGTCCGGGACTCTTCAGCACTCGTCGAATCCTGGCCTATGTCCCGACTCAGCTGACTTATGCTCGTGCTGGCTTCCGTCGGAGCAGTGGTATGTCTATGCTCGATCAAATACTTGCGGACCTGATCAGTGATGGTACTAGCGAGATTCGGGGAAATGATCTCGTCATTGTAGCCGTAGCGGACAACCAGGCGGTAGCAATTTGGAATTGCAAGTTTCGATACAGTGTAGCGATCATCTATAGGGACTGATGGAGTCTCGAGAGGTCGTAGATGAAAAAAGATTATCGTCTCAAACATTGTCGTGAGCTTCAGGATGAACTGGCTAAAGACGATAGGAGTGGTCTCTCCAGCTTTGTCAAAGAATATCCCCACACCTTGAGTGGTGCTCAAAGGTGCACCATCGAATCTATCTGTAAGACGAATGCTGCCATCTTGGTCTTTGGTCACGAAATGCGACGTGGGGAAGCGATCTTCCGCTTCAGCAAACCATTGCTGCTCCTTTCCAAATCGCCAGAGGAGAAAGAGCAAGGCGAGAATGGTGGCCACGGCGAGAGTGAACCATGCGCCAGTGGGGACTTTTGTTAGTGCCGAAGATAGGTATGCCCCGTCAAAGCAAGCAATTGTAAGCCAGGGCAAGAAGACAAGGTACGGGCTTTTCCGCCACACGAACATTGCTACCATTGCAACCATGCATGTGTCGAAGAAGGTCACGAAGATGACACACACTCCGTATGCGTTTCCAAGAGATGTAGTCTGCACTTGATTAGCGAACTGCGAGGAGCATAGAATTTATCTGACATACGTTGTTGTAGATAGATGCCACAAGTATCGTCCCGATCATCAATAGCCAATTCGCAAGCGGTATGTAAAGCTGTCCGTGGAATATATCGGACGTATGAACAACCTTGAATTGCGGAAGATATGAAAGCTTCATCACTTGCGCTAGTAGCTAAACAGAGTTAGGCCAGTCATACCTAGACGGCAAAGTTCGTACCTGAAATGTGGCAGTAATAATTGCTTGCGACGCAACTATAGCGGCTAGGATAGCAATTACAAGCGCAGGATATATGGTGCCAGGAGGAGCTGCGTTATAGAACGGATTCGAGTATGCCTCTGGATGCACACTGATGTATGCAGCCTGCCCGATATATGCCAGAAGTAGACAGGGAAATGTATAGCATAGCCAACTTATCTGGATAGCCCGACGACTGAAAGCACCAAGATCGGCAAAAAGAGCTTCGACTCCGGTAAAGGCAAGCAAAGTACCACTGAGCATTCTCCATCCTGATTCGCCGTGTCGGATCAGAAATGTGAATGCATAACCGGGGTTGAAGGCGACGAAGACCCCAGCATCATATTTAGCAAGGTTATAAATTCCAAACGCAGCGTTGAAACCAAGCCAAATTATGACTATTGGGGCAAAGGCGAACGTAACCCGCGTGATACCAAGTGGCTGTAGCAAGAACAAGATGACCAAGATAGCATCCGTGACTCCAATGACAGTGCCTTTGGATATGTTTGGAGAAACAACTTCAATTCCCTGGACGGCACCCAGCACGGATTGAGCGGGAGTGAGAAGGCCATCCGCGAGAACCATCGTAACGGCCAGCACTCCTACGACTTTCAGTAGGCGCTTCGCGAACTTGCTCGTTTCCAGGCTGTGTCTAGCAAATCTGCTGGAGCTCTCGAGATCAATTGACAAGTGTCTCTTCATCTGCACAAGGGATGCCTCTCGAGGATCTCGATGAGTGATATTCATCTGAGCTGGTCAATATAGTCCGGCACAGAGAGAGGTGTGTCTTACATAGCGACTGAGCAGGGAATATGTGCTGAATGTACCTCCCTCTCCATCGTTATCCGCGTGAAGGATAATGAAGATATATTTTATGGTCACCATAATAGTAATACTCCAGATTATAATGGAGAGCACTCCAATGAGGTCTTGGCGAGACGGCGCCTCAGTGAACGTAGACGAATAGACATAGAGCGGGCTGGTTCCAATATCTCCGTATATGACACCAATTGACTGGTATGCGAGCCAAAGAAGCATTTTGCCGGAGAAATCCTGCTGGGTTTAGCCTGCATGCTTCTCAGCACTGGAACTCTGTCAGGCCGTACCTGTCTTTGCTTGAAGTCTGTAGGTCTGCGCAAGCCTGGGTCATCATCCTCGCCAATAGTGCTCACAGTACTAATGGCCCGATCCAAGTGATTGTTGTTCCATGGGCGGATATTGTAGATCGAATCTTGAGTCTGTTGAGATTTTTCTTTCACCGTCGCCAGTGTTGGCAGTTCCTTCAAAGCCTCTGGGTCAGGGTCCATCGTGATGAGAGGCAAAGACAGACTCGTGAGAGTACTGGCAGGTTGGCTTGACTGTCACGTCACGTCAGCGAAAGAAGCATGGAATGATGCAGAGCTAGGGGAGATTCACCTTCGTAGGAGTCACTGGACATTGTAGTACTTATATTCGATGGCTCAGGCGGCAACAATTGCAGATAAGCGTCAGCGTTTGAGCAAATCCTCATCCCGCGTGCTCTTCTCACTACGACGGACACACATCGCAGCCATCGTATACGAGCCATGGAACGCCATCTAGCTATATCCTTATCTCGAAGTAAATAAAGATTGGATGATATCCTAAGAATATTTTAGATAATGCACAGATAGCTATAGATAAAAGCTGCAAGCACCTTGAGAGGGATTTTTCTGGTCCAACCTCTGGGGTTCGGCCCAGAGAGTGCGGCATTTGTTAGCACCAATAGTTGCACGGTGCATTCACGGCACGTTCAATGCATCCCGCACCACATGGCGCTGATCATTCGCTCCGACTCGCTGATGCTGGGATGTCAAAAGGAATAAAGATATGATGCGGAACTACAGACCAGATCTGGTGTTTAACGGAGGTGGTGACGTTAGCTCACATGATCGTCGCTGTTTCATCCCACTTCCTGAGGTCGCTTCTAGGCAAGGCATGAATCCAAGTAAATATCTCCCGCAGTGGATATTGAGGCAGATTCAGGTTAGCGTTAAAGTGCGGGTAGTTACAAAATAGATTGTCATCTCATTGGATCCTGTGATATCAGTTACTATAGGTGTGTCTGACATAGAGCAGATCCCCCAAGGATCTACGTTGGTACTACTACTACATATGTTGGGACGCATCTCTCTATATGCTTTCCTGATAGACCCGATACAATGCTCTAAGTTTATATGTAGTTAGTGCGTTGAAGGACTACGTCAACAAAGAAATCGCAACGCAAGATAGTAGACCATTCCGAGTAGGATACCTCGACCGACTTGTAGACCTCGGTATTGCCGGAAGTTGGTGCTATTTACATGGATTGCTTTGAATAGCCATTCGGTTCGACATGGTACTATACGAACACTCTGGTCGTCAAGGTATATCATACAACATATTATATATCCTCCCCGACACCTATAGCCCAACATAACCAGATCCGTCATCCTCCCTCTGTGGCATCTTCATACCGTGCATACCAGCATACTTGGGGCTTTTGGGCTGCTTCCAGCCCTCAAGCACCTTGGAATCCACCAACTTATACACTTCAACGCCCAGTGGACGTGTGGTAGCCCCCATATCTGCCTTCTCCTCCCAGCCCCAGTTTGACAGATCACCTACGACCAAGAATTAGTATCTAATCTCCATGATTGCCAGATGAAACTCACCTCCAGGACATGCAGACAGTGCGCAGAGTACATCGACTTCAGCGAAGAACTCAAAGTACTCTCCCGGCGTTGCAGGAGAAGTCTCCATAAAGTACTTTCCTTCCTCATCGAGCCCCGTCACTTGGAAGACATTGAGCACGTCATGCACGTCAAGCTCTGTCAGACCATACGGAGCAACAGCACGGGTCAGGTTAGAGTGGCAGTGGAAGTCGAAGCTTTCCCCACCCATGACCAGATTCACATAAGGATCACAACGGGTACCTAGAAGGTCGTGCACGCGCCCTCCGAACTGCGTTGTGCCGAAGCCCTTTCCTTCTTTTCGCTTGCCATCCTCATCCAAAACTTCGTGAAGTTGCCCACCTGCTAGCGAATCACCTGTAATGGTAATTAGAGGGCGCAAGTATGGCAGGTTCGACCACAGGCGGTCACCAACCGAGACATGGGAGGCGTGGATCTGACGAGTGCGCGCTGCCCAGAGTCTTTCGCGAGGGTTATTCGCATTCCAGATGTTAAGATCCCCAACTTGAGGTCCCTTGGGCGTTGTGAGACGGCAGATGTGCCCGGCTGGTACTACCCAAGCTTGGCCCGAGCATGGACGAATAGTGAAGGATGACTCTAAAGTTCGCTTGGAGGACTCGGAAGCTGTTTCCGAGATGTTTCGGTACAGCTTTGAGGTAGCATGGACTCCAGAATCAGCAGGAGCTGTATAAGCTGGAGGGGGACGACGCGGAGCAGCCATTGTGAACGTATCTGGTTGAAGCAGTAGTTTTAAGGTAATATACTTGGCGGTTCGAGATGACCAGTGTACGCGACCAATGCGAGAGGAATGTACATCTTAGCCCACGCCAGGGGCAGTGAACCTATGCTTTAATAGTACACGACTACCTCGGGATGCCTGCCGATGATCGCAGCGTTCCTTATCGTATTCTGCCCCATACAGCCCCGCTTTGGGGTCTTAGTTCGGGTCCTCTCATGGCCATCACGACGTATTGACACCGGGCCGATATGGAAGGGCTGAGCCCTTATCGAACTCAACCGGGCCGGACGATAACTGATCGCAGAACTGATCTCATTAGTAATTTGTTGCCTGGGGCAGCAATGTTCCTGTTCCGCCTTTTGCCCCCATTTTCTCCGGCGGGAAGATCTCGGCTCGGAAAAATCACCCTCCGGCTAAAGAAAATGGAAATAATAATTTTGGCCGAGCTACTGGACAACGGAAGCAGCTCGCCGAGTGCTCGACTTTTTGGTGAAAGCTTTTATCTTTTCACGAGCCGGGGAGAGTTTTCTTGAGGGGTCTACAGACCTCGTGTTTTCAAGATGGAGGAGCAATCCAACAGGGCGCATCGCCCTGCCAAAGAGAAAAAGAAGTACGACGGTATGTAGTGCTTCTTCAAAGTCGGATTCGCCGCTTCTCAAGAAATTGGTCGACTAACATATCTATCGCTATTTAGGCCCGAATCCGAAGGCTTTCGCGTTTTCGAATCCTGGCAAATCGAACAAAGCCGGCGCAAGATCTCACGATGTATGCGCTACTACCCTCTATATAATTCCGTGCGCAACGGTCACTGATGCTCATTTTGCCGCATAGATCAAAGAGAAGAGACTCCATGTGCCTCTTGTTGATCGCCTGCCTGAGGAGGCTCCGCCGCTCGTGGTGGCCATTGTTGGCCCACCGGGGGTATGTATCTTTACCAACGATGCCATTGTCAGGCTTGCAACATGCTAATGCCTTCGCTGCTTCCAGGTTGGAAAAACAACCCTTATCAAGTCCTTGATCCGTCGATACACAAAGCAGACCCTTAGTACCCCTAAGGGACCGTTGACTGTTGTAACCTCGAAACGGCGCCGCCTTACCTTCCTAGAATGCCCCTCCGACTCCCTCGCCAGCATGGTCGATGTGGCTAAGATCGCGGATATTGTGCTTCTGATGATCGACGGAAACTATGGCTTCGAGATGGAGACTATGGAGTTCTTGAACGTCTTGGGCTCTCACGGTATGCCCGGAAATGTGTTCGGTATCCTGACCCACTTGGACCTTTTCAAAAAGCAGAGCACCCTGCGTGCTGCCAAGAAACGCCTCAAGCATCGTTTCTGGAGCGAGCTGTACAACGGTGCCAAGCTTTTCTACCTTTCCGGAGTCGTCAATGGCCGTTACCCCGACCGTGAAGTGCACAACTTGTCCCGCTTCTTGTCTGTCATGAAAAACCCGAGACCGCTCATCTGGCGCAACTCTCACCCTTACGCCCTCGCAGATCGATTCCTCGACATCACGCCGCCTACCCAGATTGAAGAAAACCCGAAGTGTGACCGGACGATAGCGCTTTATGGATACCTAAGAGGCACCAACTTCCCGGCGTCTGGTGCGCGAGTGCATGTTCCTGGTGTGGGTGACTTGACTGTTTCTGGCATCGAGTCTCTACCCGACCCATGCCCAACACCTTATATGGATCAGCAGTTGGCTAAAGCCACCGGCAAGAATAGCAAGCGCAGACTTGGTGAGAAGCAGAAGTTGCTTTTTGCTCCCATGTCCGACGTCGGTGGTGTCTTGGTTGACAAGGATGCTGTTTATATCGATGTGAAGACCTCGAACTTTGATCGCGGCGAGGAATCCGACGATGAGGAGCGTGGTCTGGGAGAGCAATTGGTCGTTGGTCTCCAAGGAGAGCGTAAGCTTCTGGGTGAGGCAGACAGTGGTGTTCGTTTGTTCCGCGGCGGTGGTGCCATCGGAAAAGCAGATGACGAGGATGAAGCTGTCGGCAGGAAACACAAGAGGAACGTTCGATTCTTGGACGGCGAACAGGACAATCAGAATGCGGCAGACGATGATGAAGGCTTCGAAAGCGAAGAGGGTGATGAGGATGAGGAGGACATGGAGCAGGACGAGGAAGAGGACCTGAGCGGTGATGAGGAAGAGGTCGACGCTTCCGCGCCGCCAGATTTCGAGGCCAATTTCAAGGAAAGACAAAACGGCAGTGCTCATCAGAAAGAGGACGACATCGCTTTTGCCGACAGTGACTCCGACCTTGGTTCCATCTCATCAGTAGAGGATCAGGTCCTCGATAGCGACGAGGACGACGAAGACGAAGACGGTGAAGATGATGGCGAGGTCCGTTGGAAGGATAACATGCTTGCCAATGCCAAGGCCCTCCATTCGAAGCGTCCCAAGTACCGTGTCCCTGACTTGTCACGCATGCTTTACGATGAAACTATCACACCTGCAGATGTGATTCGCCGATGGAGTGGTAAGGAGGAGGCCGACGGGGATGACGACGAAGAGGCCGAAGAGGACGAAGATGCCTTCTTCAGGAAGACAAATGTTGAGGAAGAAGAAGCTGCGGAGTACCGCGCTGTTCCTGAGTACGACTATGCCAAACTAGAAGCCAAATGGCAAGATGCGGACATGATTGAATCCTTGCGGCAACGCTTTGTCAGTGCCAAACTGTCTGGCGGCGACGACGATGATTCGGATGTCGATGATGCCTTTGATGAGGATGACGAGGGTGACGGAGAGTTTGAAGATTTGGAGACCGGTGAAGCTTTCGACGGATTCTCTGACGAAGAAGGCGCCGAGGATGATGAAGCTGCAGAGCCCGAAGGCCCCGTCGACTTGAATGCAGAGCGAGAACGTAATGCGAAGAAGAAGGAAGAATTGAGGCTGCGCTTCGAGGAAGAAGACCGTGAAGGATTCGCTAACTCCAAGGATAACTCCCGGCAGGCCGGTGGTGGAGAAGAGGAGTTCGGAGAGGACGAGTGGTACGATATGCAGAAGGCCAAGCTCCAGAAGCAGATCGACATCAACCGTGCTGAATTCGATATGCTTGACCCGGCCTCGAGGGCCCGTGCGGAAGGTTTCAAGGCTGGTACTTATGCACGTATCGTGCTTGAGAACGTTCCTTGCGAATTCGCAACCAAGTTCAACCCCCGCTTCCCTGTCATTGTGGGTGGACTGGCCCCGACTGAAGACAGATTCGGTTA